GAAATTTTTTGAAAAAACCCTCCCCGGAAAAGTTACACCCCTTCGAAACTTAAAAAAAAATAGTTTTTCTTTTTTATTTTCCCTGTATATCAAGCTAAAAACACGAAACTTGGTAAACATTATCTGTCAATAAAAGTACACTTTTTGAAATTTTTTCATCCCTGAAGTATGCTTAGAAGGGGTTGAAATAATCAACCCCTAAGATATTTTTTCTTACAACTTTTTTTAGATGAAATTTTTTTCTTTAAAAAAGTATGACTGAAAAGCCCAATTCATTGACTAACTTTTTTATCTCTACAAGTTTTTTAAAACTTAAGCATTTATGAGAAAAAAATAAATAAGCTCATGTAAAATAGCATTTTATTAAACAACAGCCAACCAAATTATGATTCTTAAGACTTCTACAACTAAAAACAAAAGTGAACAAACAATGAACAAAAACCTGTCGAATATCGACAATACAATTATAATAAATGTTGAAAATGACCGCCTTCAGCTTCAATACAAGCATCTACCCTTTTCCTCATAGAATTGCGTATACGATGAAATATTCCTGGATAATTTCTTATAGTTTCACACCCTGCTACAATGCGGTTTCGCAGATCATCGATATTTTCAACTGGGTTTGTGTATGTCAAAGATTTCAGATATTTCCATATGCAAATATCCAAAGGATTAAGGTCAGGGGAGCGGGCTGGCCAGTTTACAGGTCCTCCTCGACCTATCCATTGATTGGCATACACCTCATCCAGGTGAGATCTTGCACGTATACTAAAATGAGCTGGTGCACCATCGTGCATAAACCATAAATGTTGCCTAATTTGAATGGGAACCTCTTCAAGAAGAATATGCTTCACCATTTAATCGTAGCGGAAGAAAATGGGGACCAATTAAATGATTATCAATAATTCCGAGCCACACGTTTAATGAAAATTGATACTGATGATTTCCTTCAAAAAAGCCATGAGGATTTTCGTCAGCCCAAAGGTGATTGTTGTAAAAATTTCTAATACAGTCTCTTGAGAAACTCGCCTCGTCAGTAAATAAAATATTACCTAAGAACTGTGGTGATTGGCCAATCATATTAATAAGCCACTGACAAAAAATCACACGGGGTAAAAAATCTCGAATCATTAACGCCTGCACCCGTTGAAGATGATAGGGATACAACATTTGTTCTTTTAAAATTCTAAAAACAATGGAATGGCTTACATGTAGGACACGAGCTATTCTCCTGGTACTAGTTTTTGGGAATTCTTCAATTGAATTAAGTACGGCTTCTTCTGCAGCTGCAGTTCTAACTTCTCTAGTACGACTAGAATCATAAGTTCTTTTTTCAAAATTACCACGTTCCCGCAAGCGTCGGTGAATAGTTGTGAACGTAGTATGATGGGGTAGTCTCATAGAAATAATATAGAAGACCAATATAAACATAACATTTAAGCAGAAATTGAAACCCACTGTGCATAAAAACGCGTCTCTGCGCCTGACATCGCAAAATAGTGTGTCTAGAAGCTTGTGCAATATGCATGACTTGTCCCTGTAGTGTTGCCAAATATATTAAACATACCTAACAGAAAAGAATTTTAAATTAATTAATTTTTAAATTATATGATTTAAACAGTTTCTATCTACGAAATATCGCCACAAAATAACTTATACACATTTAAATAATTAACTAATAATATTTATGTGTAATTACATTCCCAAAAATATATACAAATACCGTAATAATGTCATTAATACCGTATTTTTAATGTTCAATAAGCGATTCACCTACAAATTCAATATTGACCTGGCAATAGCACTAAAATCCGGTGTTTCAAGGCTATATGACGCTGCCCTTACAGGACCGTTTGTAGTTTATTATTTGTGCCGCGTTTGAGAATCCACATCGGATGCATCTGAGATGTAGTAAGTAGTAAATCTTTGATCACGTGATTCAGTATACGTAAATGTAATGGGACAGATGTGTCCGATGTGGATAAAAAACGCTCGAGATGTAAAAAATGCATCCGATGTGGATTCTCAAACGCGGCATTAATTACACGATGAAAGTGGCATTTTATTTTTAGTTTTGTGTAGTATTTAGTCAAATCCTAGGTACAATAAAAGACATTTTTACATTGGCTAATGAAAATGTAATCAATGTATTAGGCAGCTGTTATATTTATTACAAGATTTATGTCTGCAAATCTAAACCTACCTAAGAATTATAATTATGTAAATAGAGAGCTGTATATTTATTTACAGGCTGCCCAGCGACGGGGAGACATTATCGATATCGGTTTTAAGGCATTTTAAAACATAAACCCGATCTCAACAATCTTAGGAACTCTTCTGTCACTCGATATTTTAATCGGTACTTCCTCTTCGCTTTTTGGCTGGCACAACAATTATTTACATTTCTTCATTCCTTACCGCGTTCGAACCAGTAAGGTTTAAAGAAATTTAAAAAAAAATAATAATTAAAAATAAAGATGTTAATGATTTTCTTATGGATCCCATCTTCAGATCTTGACTTAATGTATATAAAACTGTTTCCTTTTCTAACAAAAATAATCCTAGAAATCGGGCAACGTGGTAAAGAATTATCGCTCAATATACATAAAAAAATATTTCAACGAATTGAGAATATCCTACCATTTTGAAGTATGTTAAAAAAAAATTGTTAATAAAGTGAAAAGTAGGGCATGAACATATATTATAAAGTATATAAAATGATAGATAAATCCAGTTTAGAAGGTATTATAAATAAACTGTGGAAATATCGAGAATCTCGATTTTGAATCGGAAAAATATTCTACGCAATTTAGTATGAAAGCTGATCAAAATGAAACACATGAACGACAAACTGTTAATGACAACTTTCTTCAAACGTTTTCTATTTTTCCGAAAACTAACTAGATAGTTCGAAAATCATTTCCTTCGTTAAAACGCTTCTTGTTCCGAAAAAGGTACACGCCTGCCAACATTCATCGTTCATTAAAAAAGTGGTAGATACAAAACGCTTCGTATTGTAAGGCCAAAATATATTTAGAAATCGAAATAGTCATATAAACAAAAAAATCATATGAGTGAGATAACTACCAAATTAATGATTTACAAGTTTATTCCTATTATTTATAAAATAGGTTTGCAATGTGCTGGTGTGGAATGTTATCATCGACTAAAAACTTTAAATCTTTATATTAAATTGATTGAAAACAAACTATAAATTGGTTTAGGCTATATAGAATGTTTCTAGTAAGCAGCAACTAATTTTTATTATGGAACCGAAAGACCCTTTTAAAAAGGTTCAAAATTAAAATAAAATATGTACCAAGTAAATGTAGTAGTATTTTTTAATTTTTTAATTTATATTGAAAATGGTAACATGAAAGGTTTTCTGTCTAACGACTCATAGTCTCGGCTGACAAAATGTAAAAAAATATCGAACATAATATTCCTGGGCCCTATTTTGCACTCCCCAGATTAAATTTAGTTGTAGCAAATGATATTATCAAATAAGATGTCAAATCATAAGCAAAATCTCGTGACTACAGTACTAATGGTTGCCTGTTTGGAAAAGTATCTTTGTTTGTAAATATTTATATGCATAGTTATATTTAAATGCGCGAGTGTAGTGTTAAGTATAAACAAAATCCGCCCATTATGTATATACGTTTAGTTACCGACCCTAGTAGATAGGCAATTTGTTATTGTTTTAAATTTTACCGTAGGGAGAGAGAAAATCAATATTAGGATAAATGGTCCAGCTCCTTTCTGGTTACGTAGGTACCTAAAAAGTATTTTAGTTTTTGGTTAAGTAATTAATTATTGTAACAGTGATTTTCTTGTGATAGTACCTAATTTAGATTGTGGATTAAAGTTTTTGTATATAATTTCGCTGTTTAATAATAAACGTAGTCAAAACCGAAGCACGTGGTTTTTCTGGAAAGTATTTTTAAAATCACAAGCAAAATCTCATGACTACTGTACTAATGATTGCCGAAAATTAACTAATTCATATTTTATGCCATATCTTTCTTAATAAGGACTGTCAAACCATATTTACCTTAACTTGAAATTTTTTTAATCGTTTTTTGTATAGAATCATCTCTAAAAATGTATGATTGAAATATCGTGCGAACTATTTGTTCGATCAGTAAAAAACTTGCACCGGTCCTGTTCGCGCCAGCACCGTTATACGCATGAGCTCCGACACACTATTTTCTCCTTATGGTTTCATTTTTGATATATGGAATCGGCTTTCTATACTATTTCTATAGGTAGTCTACGCTGTGGGTACTGTTCAGCATAAAGTCTTTGCGCTTCCAATGAATTACCGTTAGCACGACCGTATGTAAAATGCATATCTGCCATTTCCAAATTCGAATATGCATTCATATTTTCAATCAACTAATATTTCCTACAATACACAATCATAAAACTTATGAAACAATAAGATGGGTAACAGAAAATGACACTACACAATCCTGGTATCAGTATTAATGTTTTTATGCAAAGCACAGGCCACTAGACTTGACGCAAAATACACTCGCGTTAGCTCATCTTTTTGAAAATGCATTGCATTAGATTTTTTTTCTCGTAAATACTCAAGTTTTAGAAAAAACTTGTAGAGTTAAAAAAGTTAGTCAATGAATTGGGCTTTTCAGTCATACTTTTTTAAAGAAAAAATTTTCATCTAAAAAAAAGTTGTAAGAAAAAATATCTTAGGGGTTGATTATTTCAACCCCTTCTAAGAATACTTCAGGGTTGAAAAAAGTTTATAAAGTGTACTTTTATTGACAGATAATGTTTACCAAGTTTCGTGTCTTTAGCTTGATATACAGGGAAAATAAAAAAGAAAAACCATTATTTTTTTTAATTTTCGAAGGGGTGTAACTTTTCCGGGGAGGGTTTTTTCAAAAAAGTTTATACCAAACACTCACATTAATTTTCATCACAGAATCACCCCTTTAATTTTTTCGGTGTTATTTAGATAAAATATTTTTTAGATCAGAAATTAGTTACCTGACTCCTGTATTCTACTTGAAAGCAGTGGTCCTTATTGTAGCTTCTACAGCAACAAGTTTGACTTTCTTTTTAATGATAATAACCTACATTATGACCGGTCATTACACAGACGCCGAAACTATATATTACATCCAAAATTGCTACCTAAGTCTAAAAACCTACATCCAAGTGTCCATACCATTTGGAATAGCACAATGTTCAGACCTACTTGCTTCCTTAAAGAGAATAACAGAATTTTTAATGGCTGAAGAAGTGGTACAGAGAATTACCCATACAAGATCACCAAGAGTATTTATGAAACACGTTGCTAGTAAAATTAAAGAAACAGAAGTACTAAGAGACATATCATTCAACTTAGAAAAAGGAGTTCTTCTAATCACCGGTAATCTAGGTAGTGGTAAGAGCTCCATAATCAAAACTTTGCTTGGAGAATATCCTGTCACTGGCGGTCAAATGTTGATAGACGGCACGATTTCTTATGCGCCAGAGGAACCATGGTTATTTCCCAGTACCATCAAACAAAATATCCTCTTCGGTCATGAATACGACGAGAAACGGTACAATGAAGTTCTGAATGTATGCGCTCTAACTGTAGATCTGAGACGATTGGAGAAAGGCGACCAAACTATTGTTGGTGATGGTGGTGTCAATTTTAGTAAAGGACAACAAGCTAGGATCAGTTTAGCAAGAGCTGTGTATAGAAACAGCGATATTTACTTGCTGGATGAGTGTCTGTCTTCTTTAGATAGCAAAGTAAATGGGTATATTTTCAAGAAATGTATTTTGGGGTTTTTGAAAGGTAATTGCATTTTTTTTATTATTATTGCATACTTCTTTTTATGTTAGCAACACATTTGGCTTTTAAATTATTACTCCAGATTAAATATACCTACTTGATAATGATTTAAAACGTCGACGTCACTTTCTAACTCGATATGACCCGAGAATAACGATCAATAGTTTAGGAGCCCACTGCAAAATGTTGGGTCGATCACTAGTATGGCTAAATGTTCATGAAAACGTCTGGTAATATATTGTACAATAGTAATCCGTCGGCAGCCGTCCCAATATCGTTTGCGTTTTACGTTATAAAAAATTATTAACAATAGGAAATATGTGCTACCCTCCACCCATCGCTTTTTTGCCAAATTTTCTACTTAATCGATAGATAGTAGTTAAATATAATTTTCTATATCCGGCTGCCGACCATCATCCTTTGCCTTAAGGGTGGCTGATGGGGCCGAAAAGTACTATATCGATGTTGCTTTTATACATTCATCGGTGTAATAGTTAAACAAAATACCGTTGGAAAAGTCGCAAAATTTCCAACAAGAAAATACCCGGCTGCCGCGCGAAAGCGTTTGCATAACTTAGGCTGCCGCGATTTTGTGCGCGCGCAAGATTCGATCACGTATGAAATCAGCGCTTTAGATAAATTACATGTTAAAATCAAAATGTCATAATTTTGCACTTGCGTCATTGTTTTACCGGAACAGCGATATTGTGTTTTTGTTTTTTATTTTTAATAATCCACCGCATTTACACCCAAAACATAAATTTTGTTAAGAAATCTCAACGGGAGGGGGGAGGGGGGGACAAAAAATCCTCAAAAATACCTCATGTAATTAATGGACGCCTCGGCTATCGTTTTCTAAAAAACGTATAAGCTTTAGCAACATGCGAGATATTTGCTATTCTCGACATTCGTTTTAAAAGCGTGTACGTTTCTAAAACGGGTATTTTACAGCCAGCGGATTTTTCACACGTTTTTGATAAAACGTGCATGTTTTCAAGGATTTAGCTAATGTCACTTTTAGGATGAATAATAATATTGATTGATTTTAACAAATTCTAGGTATACTATTTTTTATTTATATCTATGAAAGTATCTAATTTCTTACAAATATGGTTTGTAGTTCTAAAAAAGTCTAATAACTGAGAATTTCTTTCAATTTTTATTAATTATTCAATTAGAAAACTTGGAAGATAAGAATCCTTAAAGATTCAGACACGCAGAGGCAGAATTCATTTTTTAAATTTAAGGAATATTTTTTTATATCTTACCGTGCAAGAATTTAATTATTAATTCATGTCTGTTTTATTTACAAAAATTAATTTGCTTGCGGTTTCTTGCAAGTGGTAGTTCAAAGCTCTTCTGTATCACACGTTGTGATCAGAAATTTTAAAAATTTGGGCACAAAATAATAAAAAATTAAATGAGATATGTCAAGTTATTATTTAAATTAATTTTGTACTTTAAAAACTAGGTTTTTTATGACGTACGATTTTCCTAGAATTTTAGGTTGTATTAACTGCACCCGTATAACAATTTTTCCGCAAAAAAAAAAGGTTCAGGTTTTCCTGAACATTTATTTATTATGTGATTGGAAAAAATCATCATTCGATAAATTTACAAATGGTTTGTTGTAATTAAATTACATATGCTGCGTTTGAATATCTACATCGGATGCATCTGAAATGTTGTGAATTTTTATCACGTGATAGTGGATTAAATTTAAACGTAGATGTAATAAACAAACGCTCTAGACCTTATTGGTCACGTGACAAAATGACAATTATAAGTTACAAGTTTATATTTTTTAAATTTGACTTTTGAGACTAAAAATCAACCTAAATTTGAAATCTAAACAAAAATTAAACACACTAATCACTTTTATATTCACGCTATAATAAAAAAAGGATAAATTAATCTTGATTTCAAAAACAACTCGCTTCTCAACCACACACTTTCGAAAACGGTTCGTTTTTTAGGGAATGTCGAGGATAGCCGCCCTGGTTTTTTGTATGTAAAAATGACGGTAACTTCTTGAAATGCAGCAACGAAACTTAAAAAAAAACCAGTGTACTAGAATTTCGCAAAGAAAAAAATTTAAATACGGAAATTTGTTGTTGCTAAACCAATATGACGCCGAACATCATTCGAAATGTTTAAAGAAAATAACAACTTTGAACCCAAAATACCGAGATGAACTTAAACTTGAAAATATTAATTTGCAAACAACTGTACGTATTGACTTTTTATGTGATTATAAATCTATCTACTGCATTAAATGCAGATTAAATAAAACAAATAAAAATTAAGTAGTTGTGGAATTGCCCGTAAGAAAATAATTGTATTTCGAAAGAAATGATTATTTATCAACGCGAACGAAATTATCTAGCAATATGCCCACATAGCACACGGATGTCTTATGGACGTCTAAAAGACGTCCTACAGGGACATATTTTGGTACTGGGACGTCAATCGGATGTCCCGTTTCCGTCCATCTTAGGGACGTCTCTTAGGGACGTCTCTTAGGGACGTCCCTGGGACATCCCAAAAGGACGTCATAGGGACCATTGAGGGACATCCTAGGGACGTAAATCAGACGTCCGAGGGACGATATTTGACCATAATCCATAAAGGATAATAATAACAAAAATGTTAACATCAAAAGGGCTTTATTTAACAACTTTTATCCTGAAATGACTAGCTAGAGTAAAACGTTTTCAGTTTACAAAAAAAAACAGGAATGAATTAAATTTAACACACAGGGCTGGTAAGATGAATCCTTGGGTCCAACTTATAGCTTGTGTCGATATAACTAAGTTTTATAATTTTGTCAAAAATTTGTTTTGTTCCAACTTTCCGCCATTAAGGTCTTTTCTTTTCGCCAGCGGCTACCGCCAATACACATCACTTATTCTCACCTCAACAAAAAACACTCACTTATAATCTCTTTACCACCAACATCAAAAATAACAAATAACACTATATTACCTTTTTTTTTTTCGTTAATCTAACTCACTTATATAAGTTAATTATTTAATTCCGAAATTTGTAATTGTTGTTGTTCATTTGAAAATAAATGATAGGTTACCCAAGCAACAATTTGATATTTTATAAAAGCTGAAAAAATGTTTACAGAACAAAATTTATAAAATAGAATATTAGCTAAGAACATTTCCGGAACATTCTTTCAACAGTAATAAACACAAAATGGGCGCAGTATTACAGAACTATTTGGTTCTTTTGTAAATTCTATAAGATTTGTTGAATGCAGTTACCGAACAGTTACTACACATTTACACAGACTTTAAACAAATGTTTTTTTAAACTTTTATAACTGTTTTATAAATTTTCAATTTTGAGGTTAGGTTGCATATCAAAATCAGTAACATTTTAGTTTTTTAAATGTATCTAGTGAAAACAAATTAATTCTATATTTGTCATAAAAGTAAATTCAAGGCGATATTAGTAAAATGGCAGTATCTACTTAAGAGATATCTATAACGCGGTTTAGACATAATGTATGACCTACAATAAAGTCGTTTTTGGATGAGCAGCAAGAATTACTGTTAATTATATAGCACATACAATACTAAATTTTTAAGCGCCTCGAGTTTGATTCATATTTCTAATACTTTTTCAGTGTGAAACAAAAATTAAATTTATGCAATTTGATTTTTTTTAGTAATAAGATTATGCTAATATTACTAATGATTAAAATCTTTAATTAACATTGGTTTTGTCTTAAATACTAGTAAAACCGACAGTAGATTTAGCTTTAAAACTGTCTTAAGTTTGTGTTAAATATGGCGGCTATTCAGAGGTATTAGAAAGTTATTTTAAGACTGAATCATAATTATAAAATATTATTGTAGTAAAAACAGCTGTAATACAATAATTAAGTTGTATTACTCATTTCTACAAAACAAGTTCATCATGGTTTGTTGTATAATAGTTTCATATTGCTGCACTATATGACAAAATATAACATAACCTTACTAAATCGTTTCCGATTTAAGTATTTGGGAATTGAAATGATTAGATTTGTTTCTACAGCTTTATAGAGCAAGCATAATTTTTAATATTTCGAGAATAAGCAAATTTAACATGGACATCGCTAAAAATATGGCTTTCTTTTAGTATTGGGGCATGATTATTCAGAACATACCTAATTATTATCTGGCTAAATGATAGTTTTTTTTTGAGTGTCTAGACAAACCATCAAAATGTTTTACTAATATTTTTTACTGTTCTCTGAAAAGCAGGTACCACTTATTTTTTATATTTCTTCACTATTTAAATCTGACATTTTCAGACCATACACTCACATACAATTGGTATGGGAAGTAGTTGAACACACATAAAATACAAAAATAATATGGTGTAGGTACTACCAAATGTAGTTGCTTTATTTTTTTATAAATATTTTTAAAGGGATAATACTATTCTTAACTAAAATAATTGCTATACAGTTTTCTGATTTGTAATAATGTATTTCGACAATATATTACAGTTATTTTAGAGTTTTCATCAGAAGCAAATTGCTATTGATGCGGAATTATCTCACACTAATATTTATATAACTATTTTTTAAAGCGTTATTATGAGGTTAAGAAACAGTTATATTTGTATGACCAAAAAGTTCTAAAGGTAATCCAAAACAATAATATAGAATAACTATAAAGCAATTTTATTTTATAAGCTGAAATATTGTATAGAACAGTTGTATAAATGTTTATGTAACAATTTCATAGTTATCGTGAAAACTATTTTATAATTTTGCTGTAAGAATATTGTAAAAACTAATTTATATAACTATTTAGTTTCAGAGAAGAAAATAGTGATTTCTGCAACTGTAGTACAATAAATTAGCATTCCAGAAACAGCAATATAATATCAATAAAATATAATAGTCTTGTAAACTAAAAATTATAAAGCTACTTTGTTAGTTGGGTAGGTTTTCTGTCCTCATACTCTTGCAAAAACAAAATGTTGAATTTCAAGTTATCGATTTAAAGACCAACGATGTTAGTACATAGAAAGTCCCATAGACGTCCCATGGACGTCCCATTAACGTCCTGGACTCGGACCGAAAACTAAACACTTTGACGAAATGGGACCAAAATAGGACGTCCAGAGGACGTCTGTCAAAGGACGTTCCAGTATTCACGGTAATCGGAAGTCCACTGGACGTCCTATTTAGGTCCGGGACCAACCGGACCAACAAGGGACCAAATCAGGACGTCCATGGGACGTCCTATGCTATCTGGGTGACAGCGGTGTCTATTCCAATATCAATTACTCAGAAAGCGATTATTCTGAGGAATTTAGTGTATATTCTTAAACTTATTTTTTCACATTTTGTTAACTTTAACGATGTATAATTTTATAAATTGCAAAAAACAAAATAAAATTAAGACTTCTCTATTTATTTACCTCTCTTGAACATTAATTACTTTCTCTGCTTTAGATATATAGGGACGTCTTAAGCATAACTAAAAATAAAAACAATAAACTCCTTATCTAAAGCGTGGATAAGCTGTGGCATGACTTTGATTGATACACAACTTAGCACGCTGAGAAAACATGCTTATTTTCTACACTGAGCGAAATAATTTGGCAAATTATCTGAAATCATTGTTATAGTCCATGCGCAAATGTTGTAATGTGATTTAATTACATTGAAGTAGTTAGGGTTAATAGCAATGGTGAAATTTCGGCAACAAAATATAATTCATTATGTAATAATTAATTATTTATTATAAAAGTAAAAGACGTTTATAATTTTATAATTTATCTATAAAATTTGTTCAATATTTGGTTTATTTATTGTTAAAAATGAAATAAAAGCCCCATATTTAAATTAAATTACCTTTTCATTAAGTAAAAATAAGGTAAATAAAATTAAGGGTGTCAAAAAAATTTAGGTAACAATTAAAAAGACTAGAGATTAAGTTTGAGATATTTAACTAAATATTTGCAATGTGCTTATATTTTCAAAAACTTTTAGGTTTAAAAAGTAGTTACATATTTTTAGAATTTCTGGATTTATATTATATTAAAAGGACTTTCAAGTTTATCACTCATTTCTGTATAAACAAGTGTTTTCTCGCCAAGTTAGGCCAGATGTCATTTGAGGTTTATGTATTAAGAGTTAAATACCTGGCCTGGCTATCACCCAGACAATACAAATATCTCCATTGGACGTCCATTAGATATACAATTTTGGATGTCTAGACGTTCAAGAATGAGTTTTTTCTGGACTTCCGACATCCAATAGACGTCCAGTGAAGTATACAAATGGAACACTTTTGACCATTCAGAGGACGTTCAATTCTGGAATATATTTGGACGTCGAATACTGAACATTCAAAAAACTTCCAGGATTATATTTCCATTGAGACTACATTCCCACTTTTTTTACAGAACGCAACTTACCATACACTATTTTATATTATTAATAATTTGTTTTTTATTTTCACTAACCGCCCCAACAAACAATAAATTGCCGGGATATTGCTGGCCTTTTGCTGTAATTGATGGGAAAATGAATGCGACGATTAAAAGATAAAAGCCTACTTTTGGCCTTTCGATAGTGGCCCAGCATTATGTTGCATGATGATGGCCTTATGAAGAGTAAGTAACTGTATTGAGTAAAAGCATGGTAAAAGTCAAAAGGTTTTTAACTGCCGCAAACAGTCCAGGAGGACCCCATCCCGCGTTCATAGATGGAGACACCGATGATCGCTTGTTACATACTCAACAAGTGGACATGCGGGCCAGTCTCGTATTGCTGGTATTCAGAATTCATTGTAATTTTTTACTTTTACATGTTAATTTAGAATATTTTATTAATAATTTTTTTGAAGAAGACATTTTTTTAGTATTATCATATATTATATAGCTGAATTAAATAATATTTCTACAATATTCTATATTGAAATGCCTTCTGTTTTTGTATAGATATTATAGTTCAAACGGTGTACTACTAGTCAAAGGACATGGCCTTTATTAATATGGTAAAAGGCCAGCAATTTCCCGTTAACTTCCCATCAATAGGCCATTAATTGCCAAAATATTTATTTCTAGACATTAAAGGAGAAATGAAGGCCCATTAATTGGTTATGATGGCAAAGTGACTTCGGCCCGACTGTCGGTCGTAGTGACCTATATATGCCGGCCTTTTAATTAAAAAAGTCAAATGGCCATCAGGACGGTGACAGTGATTAGACCTTTACTTCCCCTACACAAAATATTTGTTGAGTCTATACACCATTTATTTTTTTTTATTAAAAATCGCTTGACCTGAGCAGGCATCGAACTCACGACACATCCATTATCGTTTTACCCTTTCAATCGCTAGACGAGCTCGACCAAGGAACCACTTGAAAACTGTTTACTAGATACAGTTATAATTGAATAAGATTTCAAACTTCCGCTGATAGAATGAAATGCAATAGATTCAAGTTGTCAATTTTTAATGACCAGTTATATTAAAAAAAGAAGTATATATTATAGATGAGTATTATCTGGTAGGCTTAATAAATAATGACCTAAGATTGACGTCCACTGGACGTCAAAATACTACTAAACTTAAAAGTAAGTCCAAAAACAGACGTTCTCTGGGTATCAATATTCAGCTGTCACTTTAATTAGCATAAACGGACGTACACTGGATGCCCGGATATGGACACGTCCTGACCCTCAAATAGATCTAAAGTGGACGTCCATTGGACGGGCAAAACATCTTTATATTGACATAATTGTAACTTACAATTTAGCTATAATAAAGGGATTTCGTCCACTTTGACCAATCCTAATTGAAACACGCGGATTTATTATATTTTTTTTAATATAATTTCAAAATAAAATAAACAAAATCTGCAGTTCATTTTTTATTAAATTTATTTAAAAGAAGAAAACATATATTTTACAAAATACAATACCTACATATGAAAAATAAAATATCAAAAATGATTAAATCATTATACTTAATATTTATGCATGTGATAAAATTCTTAGTTTCCTAGTAACTTTTTTGGCACATTTTATATCTGCATTAGAATACCTAAGTGTGTAAAAATCTTCATCTTATTACTACACAAAACAAACACCAAAAAATATCACTTAACATTGCTCACGTACTAAACACAACTTGGACTGACTTTGACAGATAACATCATTTTGAGTGATACACAACTTATTTTCGCGCATGCGCGTTACAAAACGGTACACTAAAAATACCAAGCTGTCGCTTCTCCTTGACCGTTATTCTCGGATATGACCTCAAAGTTTGTCTAACTGTCTCATATTATTTGAGTCTCATTATTCTGAGTTGTTTTTCTATTGCATAACCAAGATATATAGGGTCTTTGGAGAATACTCCTACACCAGTGCCTTCTGCTTTCTTAGACTCATCTGTAAACAGTTGTATTCCTGTCGTTAGACATTCTATTCTAGTTGTTATTAAAGTCTTGGATGAAGTGTTGGTTATACGATATGTTCTCATTATTTCTATCGAGATAAGTACAAGGAGTATAAGTCAAATATAATGATTTTCCAGAACAAGCCTCCAAAGTTTTCTGAATATGTTTCTCTTGTATGCATAAAATTGATAGGTAATTTATTATACGTTTTCCGCAAAACAAATATGTTGTATTTTATTGAAAGTTAATAAACAAAAAAAAAATAAAAATAATATGTGGTTTAATTCCACCGTTTCTCCAGTAGATCGTACTAACTGGTACCAATCGTGGGGAACTGAAATTTGCATCTGTAGATGTTTTTTTTTGTTTCTCTATCATCCCATGATGGCTATGACCACTGACCATAAACTTGTGGTCTATTTGCTCCAGCTGAGGACATTGCTGCAAAAGTGTTAAAAACATAGCTGAGACATGTGAATTTATGTTTTAGCCCCCAAATGAATCTGAATATAAAATCACTTTTTTGATTTGTTGTGGCAAACTTAACAGTTGACACCTTCGGCATCATGCCACATGAAGCAAGTTACATTCCCTGTTGTCGTTTCATGGAAAGTTAGGTTGAACGTCCACAGTTGGTGTTTATAGAATGCCACCGACGTATTTAAGTAGGGTGTTGGCAGGCACTGTTGGAGGTCAAATGCGTAACATTTAATGGTGTTGTCCTCCTTAGCACCTTGTTTGTCCTCTTGCTTTTTAGTATATACCAAATCTGCCTCATCTTGATGTTTAGTTTTCTCATCTTGTATAGACTTTAACTCATCTTCTGAATTTGCTACTCTTTCTTTGATAGAAAGTAGATCACACTTGTGACAAGTACCTGCTTTTGGCCCTTTGAGTGAAATGTTGAGTGTTTTAAACTCACGCTCATAAATTGATTTAGAGGCAGGGTTTGTAACTTGTTCCACATAGAGTGCAAACATTTTTGTCAAGTTTAGGTAAGCAGGTTAATATTTTTTTTTGCTTTTTATTACTGGTATAGTGGGATTCATAGGCGGGGAAGGATTTTATGTGATTATGAATCGAATGGTGTTGTCTGAAAGTTTATTAGCAGGCGAGTCTTTACCTCTTCTACTGGGTTCCAAAATACCTGTGATTGATCTTTGGGCAGACGCAATAGCAATTGTCAAGAACATGTTTGTTTTTCCTAAAGTTTTCTGAAAGCAACCTCGGCAAACCTTAGACAGTTTCCCAATAATTTTAAAATAAAATGTGTTGGTGTACTCTCTAAATTTTTCTTTGTCAGAATCATCGGTTCGTTTCCGAATACCTTTAGGCTAGGTTGATTGAACTAAATTAGCAACGAATTTCGTTCTTTCATCTCGACTTATGAGGCTCCAATATTCTTTAAAAATAACATCCTGGACCTCAGGGGGGATACATTCTATACACTTGGCGCGGCAAACTGTCAAAGCTGTCATTGCCCTTGCCGGTTTTACTTTTCCATCAAGAGTTTCATAGCTCTTCCCAGCATTTCTATTTTATATTTTTCTATTCTTCTTTTTTTTGGAAAATTTTCTGTCAGTAGGGGTATCTTGGATTACATTTTGTTCTAAATGTGGTTTCTTCGATCTATTTCGTATTTTAGAGCTAGAACTCCGTGTTTGATGGAAAACTTCTTCATCAGAGGAAATACTCTCCTGTTCAGGGTTAGGATAGTTAGGATACTTGTACATTTTCTGAGCCTCAATTATCTATAAAAATAAATGCTTACCTTCGTCAGTTTCTTGACCAAAACTTTCAGCTATTTCCATGTCTTGTACTAGTTGAGTGTGTTGGTCTTCATCATAGACAGTACTCTGTTGATGGTCCAAGTCTGTAAAAGATACAGACAATTTAACGTTTTAAGTTGGAAAAAATAGACAGTTAGGATACTTGTTGCCACATAAAACTCTACCAATATACCAAATTTCAGCAAAATCACATATGCCGTTTTAAATTTATATGGGAAAAACGATTTAAAAATTGTAACTTCAAGGCCCTCTGGAGCCCAAACGAAGCAACTTTGTCCTAAGGTAATTTTACTTAAATCGACATATTTTGGTCTAAGGAATATGTGGTATGTTTTTGTAAAGACCTTTTACAGACACCCTGTATAATGAAAAAATAAACAATTTAATCTGCTCGATATCAGAGTCACTTTTGTCCAAAGATGCCAACGCCTGAAGGGTGGACGAGGTTGCTTCCAAAAACTAAATTTAACTTTTCCTTTGAAATTTCTTGGGACATAGGTACCCAAGAGGGCATAGAGACCTGGAAGTGCTTCAGCTTTTACTTGGTCAAGGGATTCGTATATTGGGTGTAATGGTATTTCAAGACAGCTAGAACGAATAGAAATAAATACATTAAGTTATAAGGATGCCCTTCTCAAAGCAAGTACAAATACATCCGTGTCTGGTGAAAATATTCTCAATTTTTTTGCTGTCCTACTCGTTGCGGTGGATAATAAGCAAACGACTTTTTTGTTATGCTTATTGCTAGATACAATAAGATTATGTGAAAAATACTGGGTTATGCCTTCCTTGGTTGATGTATGGGACAATAATTTATTGATGTTATTATTCTTTATATTAGTTTTATCGTCAACGTGGTAACGTATAGGGTCTGTACCTCTTTGCCTTCAGATAATATGCATTGTAGAAGTCACATTCTATCCAAGACTCTGGAATACCAGAGAGTTCAATAAAACAACCTGTTGCTCTTAAACATTGCCATTGTAATATGAAGGTCTCCAGGAATTAGCAATATATTTTCCATTTTTTTCTCGGTCACTAATTTCAGCAGGGGCTTGTAAAGCCCCAAATCAGCAGTTATTACTGTTCGTTTACCTGTTGCCTGGAGGCCTGGTTATCATTTCTGATTGCCTCTTCACAACAGAAATAATTTCACCTGTACCACAAAGACACCATTTGAAAAATAGTCCTTCAGGAAGAAAATCACTATCATCGAGAGAACCTGGGAAAGTCCATTTTGTTGCAGACAAACACGACTTTCTTAAAATAAGGGCTGCATTTAGTAATACCGTAGGTTTAAGTGAAAATCGGTTTTTTAAAATTACTTTTAATACCTGTTTTAAAATAATTAATAACATTTCAGATAAAATAGTTATCATGGTAACAAACAACATCAACCACGTCAAACAGGTATATGGAAACAACATACTTTACGTCGAAAGTGGTAAAACGCAGTGTCTGGAAAAGCAAAAGGAAGCTATAGACAAAAGGATAACCTACTACATCGATGACATTGACATGAACTACTTCAACGAAGACAACGACATAAACGAGAGTGATATACCAGACATAGCTGACGAAAATACATTGTTGATCCAAAACCAACAAAAAATAGAACAAAAGAGTTTATATTACGAGGAGAAAAAAGTCGGAAAAGTTAATATTAGAGTCTATTTAAGATATTACAAGCATGCAGGAGGAATATTAATGTTCGTTATATTGGCTGTGATATTTATAGTAACGCAAGGTGCTGCATCATTTGCAGAAAAAGCCCTAAGTTGGTGGTAAGTTTTAATTAATTACAAAGTTTCCACTTCTTGCACATTATTTCTTTTATTTAAAGGGTAAATAACGAACCAATAGTGACAGAATTAATCAAGACTAATCAAACGAATACAACGGAGTACGATATAGCCGTCCATAAGCGTCAAAATTACTTAGGTATTTATTCGGGCATGATAATAGGAGCTCTGTTACTGATGGTCCTTAGAATCTATTTGAATTTCTATTTCGCTCTAAGAGCGTCTAAAAATTTACATAAAAAGATGACGAGTTCTGTGTTGAGCGCATTCATGACTTTCTTCGACAAACATTTGGTGGGGAATATCATTAATAGGTTTTCAAAGGATATAATGACTATGGACGAACATATTCCGAAGATTACATATGAAACTTTCAAGGTAAATATCTGGTCAGAATTTTTATTCTTTCACAATTTCCCACTACCTATTATTAACTAATAAAAAAGTTTAAAATTGTTATCTTTTTACATTTTTGTATTACAGAATACCTTAGCGATGGCAGGAATTATTTATTTGGTAGTCTCTGTAAACGCTATATTTATAGTGCCAACCATATTTTTAATTATAAAACTAATAATGGTTCAACGATTTTACATACCAACTGGTAGAGCAGTCAAACGGTTAGAGGCTTCAAGTAAGTACACAATTCGCATTTCTAAAAAAAAGTAGAGAGGAAATGGGAAACCATAAGGAGCACATCCGATGTCAATGACCCCTTCAAGATTATAAACTACATTACATCAATTTCAAATTATTGGAGTAAATAAAGGGACTCTAGTACACAAAACGGGTTATATTTAATATTATACACAACTGCTTACAATATATAATATAAGGCGTTTTCTAATACTCATCGATACCATCTAGTAATCATCAAAAGTGTTTTTATTCAGCAAAAATTTTTAAATGAGTCATACTTCAAATTCTTAAATTCAATCTAATTCTCAGATGGTTCACACCAAATCCATCGACTCGATTATGTTGATGCACTGATGGATCACGTGACATAACCTTAAATTATTAACTAATATCAAACAAATAAGGAAATAGAAAAAGTTCGTGGACAATTCTTAATAATATGAATAAAGAAACTAACTGGGTTTTATTAAACCAACCTTTAAGTTGGCTAACTTTTAAAATAAGATTATCAGCGTTAGATATAAGGGTTGATTTATAAACTACGTTCAGTTCACGCTCAGTTCAAGTTGGCAAGATATAACCACACATTCTACAAAATAAAATTATATTTTGTTGTTATTTCTGTTTTATTTATATTTATAGATGGTGTTGGTTATAAAATAATTATGAATCCTTTATAATTTCTTATCCAAAACATACTTACCGTGTCATTTTGCTCTATTTATATTGAACTCGAACTGAGCGTGAACTGAACGCGAACTGAACGTAGTTTATAAATCCACCTTAAAGCAAGCAAATGAAGGCAAGTACATATTTTTTTTGATTATTATATTGTCCATACTTGTCTTTAGTTTTTATGCTCATCAAAAAGTATTTGAATTGTTTGTTTTCATTAAATAAAGACAGCTTGACAGTTAAGATTACAAAATCACAAATGCCAGTCGTTCTCCTTTTGCTAGGATACACACGTTTTGTATAACTTTTTATTCTTCCCATCTTTATTACACAAAAGTCCTAGGTGAACATTTTGGCACAAACAAAAAGTCCTCAATAACTACTAAACTATCACACTAGAACTAATGCGCATACCACCAAGGTATTTATTAAATCGCACTCCCATGTAATATATATCGCTACTGTTGCATCCATCCATCCATCTGGGCGGGCTTTTAAGCTTCACGGGTTGATCGCCAGGCCAACACAGTTTTATGTATTTTTGTAATTCCTTTTAAACTCGAAAAGTATTCAATAAAATTCAATTATTTTATCACAGATCGCTCCAGAATCTTGTCCTGAATGTCGGAATGCTATTTTTTGAACAAAAAATTGGCTCAAATATTTGTATTTCTTAATTTTCAAATTTTATAGACATTCCTGGTTTGTTTAGTAAAAATCGCGGTACAATTGCTTTTTTAGTTCAAGAGGTATTAGTTGAATTACGATTTTCATAGGTATAGAAGCCTCTTAAATTAATTTCAAATACCTATATCTAATATAAACGTTATAATTTTAGCCAGAAGTCCAATGATAGGTTATATAAATGCAACTTTAGAAGGTTTATCAGCCGTTCGGGCCTATGACAAGCAGGACTTGCTAATATCAGAATTTGATAGACACCAAGATCATTTTACGTCAGCTTCCTATATGGTGACTTGCACAGGAAGATTCTTTGCTTTTAGTTTGGACATGATTTCTACAGTTTTTTCGGCTGCTGTTATAGCGAAATTTGTAATTTTTAAAGGTAATATATTACCTTATTTTGGTAGATTGTGATTGTATCGATATTTTAGGTTCACAAGCAGGTGATGTAGGTTTGGCTATATCCCAAGCAATGGGCCTTACAGGACTGATGCAATGGGTTATCAGACAGTATACGGAATTGGAAAACAATATGACAGGAATAGAGAGAGTGCTGGAATATACTGATATTGAAAAGGAAAATAGAACTAAAGGTATTTTATCTATTTTCACTTCTGATGTAACCAAGTTACGTTTTTAGGTGCATTTTATGAAGACTGGCCATCCGAAGGAAAAATAGAATACAGAAACGTTTCTTTAATATACGAAACCTCAAATCAAAAAGTTTTAAAGAATATTAGTTTCGTTATTAATCCTAAGGAAAAAGTAGGAATTGTAGGTAGAACAGGAGCTGGTAAATCTTCAATAATCTCCACGCTATTTCGGTTATACGATATCGAAGGATCGATATTTATAGATCAGGTTGACTCCAAGGTTCTTTCATTGGAGTGTTTGAGGTCCAAAATGGCTATCATTTCACAGGATCCCATTTTATTTTCAGGTGATTTTAATAAATGAATTGGCATGACTTTTCTGCTTACTGATTTGTAATTTTAGGTACCATAAGATCAAATTTAGATCCAAAAGGTGATCACCTAGATTTAGAATTATGGAATGCAATAACGAAAGTAAATTTGAAAACCCTTTTCATGAATTTAGACGAACAAATTACCGAAAATGGATGTAATTATAGGTAAAATTTACTTTATTTATATATGTATGGATCTACTGTTGTTTATTTTTTTAGTTCTGGTCAACGCCAACTCATCTGTTTAGCTAGAGCAATGGTCAGCAAAAATAAGATAATCGTATTAGATGAAGCCACAGCAAATATGGACCCAGAAACCTGCCGGCTTCTACAAAGGACAATACGAGAACATTTTTCGGGTTGTACAGTACTGACTATTGCCCATAGGCTTAACACAGTCCTTGATTGCGATAGGGTAAAAAAGAATCATATCAATACACATGGATATCCCGTCCTTGTGCCTTTTTATTCAAAACTATTTTTTTGTAGGTGATGGTTGTGGATAACGGTGAAATTCTGGAATTTGATACGCCAGAAGCACTAAAAGCAAAGGAAGGTGGTATTTTTTATACCATGATCAAACATTCAGGACTTAATGAATAAATATTTATTTTGATATTGGAATACTGAAAGGTTTAAATCAAAAATATTTTTATTGGTGTATCGATAAGATTATAATACAGCGGTTACCGCTTGTTTTTAATCTGGCCAAAATTGTAAAAAATCGGGATTATATTTTTGAATTCTACTTTACCAATGTACTTGGTTGGATAACTTTGAATATTGACAACAAAATATGTTCTGTAAAATATACATATATTCGAAATATTTTATTTTTTCTAAAAACGAATTAGTAGCAGTGGGGTTTACAATGACAAAATATAGATCTCACTACAGATTTTAGTGTTTTATAAAATGTATATTATACCTCTCTAAAATAATGAACGTTTTTTACCTACATCCATAGTGAGATCTATATTCTGTCATTGTGAATCCCCCATATTTTATTTACAAGCCGTCACTGATTATATGAGTATAATTTTTTAATTTTATTATAATTTTTGTAAATAACTATTTCATAAATAAATCAGTATTTGTGTTCGATCTTTATTTAAATTGGAACAATATAGTTATACTTACAACAAATTTCCAACATATTTTACAAATATATCAGGCTAGCTCGGTCCCTGAGGGCTAAACTAATCAATTAAGTAATAATCAAACAAGTAACTCTTCAAAGATAATTTAATACCCGAAAAAACTAAAACGCCGACCCTGTCTTGCAAATAAGTTAAAAGATCCAAGAGTTTTAGTCGACGGCACAGATAAATTTTATTATTCCACAATTAAATATCAATAATATTCACAAAGACACCGCCGACGTCCAGATTTAGTTGTCAAATTGCAAAAAAGTGATACGTTCAATTCCATTATAGCTAAACGACTGTGTACGTTTAGCGCATAGTACACTTTGAGCAAATATTTTCGAAGATAGTATGGCATAAATATTTTATGCCTGACATCGTTGTAAGACAAGCACGTTAAGATCAGATTAATGTTGTGCAACTTAATTTTAGCGTCCTCCTATTGGCTGAATAGAGCCTTTCTCAGATTTCTATTTGTAGAGCACACGATAGTCCGTAATAAATGCCGCTACCAACTTATATTCTAATTGATTCGCGACGCTTGGCTGTGTCATCGTCCTGTTGAGTGAACACAGGTGGACAGTGTTTGCTTATCCAGTGTTGTATTGACATTACTGTTTGAATTTTTAATTTATAAAAAAATAGCTTTTTGGGGGCCTTTTGAAAGTGATGGAAATGTAATCCCTGAAGGTATTTAAATTATTATAACTCTGATTGAAGATATTTTAAATAGGTAGGATTAGTTGCACCCCAAAAACAATTAAATTGATATTTAAATACTCATATAAATTGTAAAATTTAAATAGTTCAATCTGCTTTGGCAGTTTACATCATTGTTTGCCCATATAAGGTGATATTGTACCTGCACACTCTATAGTGCAAAATGTAAATTTTTGGATAAATAACTGGGGTCAAATAATAATACATACAGTTCATCAAATTTCTAGAGGCTTTCGACGGCTAGACAGAGAAAGCACTACTGACCGGCATCCCGACGGATTTACGCAATGAAAGTACACTCTGCGCATCAAGTATTTCACTATTTCATTCAGACGTAAATGTCAGATGTAAATTTCGCTAAAACATTTCTTTTATTTTCGTTTGTGTTTTTTGCTCATTACAGTTTAATAGAACCTAAGTATGGAGTTTAATAGCAAATTAAGAGGCCGCGTGATTAACAGTTAATCTCGCGAAATAATAGCCAATGTTATAGAGTTTATGAGAAGAGAAGGAAACTTTAATTCACCTTCAATACCATTTAAAAATGTAAATGATCGTGTTGCTGCAGCCACAGGAGTATCTAAAAACACTATCGTCCGCATTTCTGGAGAGAAAAAAAGAATCGATAACCGTGAGATATCGGAATTTTCATCACCAAGAAAAACCATTAAAAAACCAAAAACAGTTAATGATATAGATGAAGCTGCACAAGAATCAAATTTTATTTTTTTATTATTAGATAGCTATTTTTGTTTCTGAGTTGTGTTCATTTACAGGCTCAATTTTTTTCCGTTTCTCCTTTTTGATTTTATATGGGGTTTCAATTTGTTTTTGACTTATTTCGACGTAAATCACAACAACACACTTTTTTAATAAAGCAAACAAGTGTTAAGAGGTATATGTACGTGTAAACTACAATTAATTTAATTACCTAAAAATATTAAAAACTATTTAAAATAACTTGTTTAGCAGACTGTACAATAGCTATCTTAGTCACACGTAGCGCGTTCTCTGTCTGGGCGTCGAACACCTCTAGAAATTTGATGAACTGTACTGAGAAAAAGTAATGAGCGTGAAAACTTTACAAGAACATATATTAATTTAATACGTAATTACTAGTAAATAGAGACTTTATTAAGATTACCATTTAACATTTGGGGTACAATTAAATGAAACAAACAATTGGCATTTATATACAGGGTAGCTGTTAAAGATGGAACCAAACCTATAGTACTTAAACGGTTCAACATACAAATCCCAAAATTTCAGAATTTCTACTAAATATATTTGCACATATTTTAGCCCAAAAATTATTTTTTTTTACAATTACTACATTTTAAGCATGACCGCCATCTTGATTTTTTTAAATAGCAACATAGGTCATGTGATATACCATTTGAAAGGGTTTACAAAGGGATTACAAAAATGTATCACACATGGGGTCTAAACACAACAGAAAGGATATTATTAATAGGGAGCGTAGGAGGCTGTGCATTTGTGTTTAGACCCCATGTGTGATACATTTTATAATCAGGATGTTAAACCGTTTGAAATGGTATATCACATGACCTATGTTGCTATTTAAAAAAATAAAGATGGCGGCCATGCTTAAAATTTTATTTTTAGGCTAAAATATGCGCAAATATATTTAGTTGAAATTATGAAATTTTGGGTTTTGTTGGTTGAACCGTTTAAGCACTATAGGTTTGGTTCCATCTTTAACAGCTACCCTGTATATGATAAATTTTAGTATATTTTTTTAAATTTGGTTGATCCACATTAAAATTGAATTTGTTATTATTTAGACTATTGTTATTAAGATTTGTATTATTACGTTTACCCCAAACGCGTTCTTACGTCAACTGGCCCTACATAATTCTATGCAGAACCCATCAGAGTTTGTTCTGAGAATGAAGAAGAATTGGTGGAGGAGGAGGAGGAAAAGATTATAACCAAATTAGTAAATTTCCAAAAGCAGAAGCTCGAAAAGAGGTAATTTTCGTGTTTTTGGACATATTCACCTTTAAAAAAAGATTTGCTTGCAATATTGAGAGGCTTAAATCTTAAACTTAGCTATTTTGTTGATGAGATTGCTACGGCATTCAGTCCTACTGTAATACGTTTACCACCGTATTAGTGTACATTTAATGCAATATAATTAATTTGTAGTAACATCAAAAGAGATGTCAGAAAAAACATGTTAATCCTGCGTTGTCTGTAAGCGTTTTAGAGAAGTTGTTGGAGGTATATCTCAAGAATTATGATCCAATGGGCGTGTTTAGTGAAATTCAAAAATATATTTTTCTAAAAGCTAGCATAAAATCTAATCTAAAAATATTTTTTTGAAATTTTTCTCTTTTCAAATTTTCCTGCAAGAATTTTTTAAAATTTAAAAAAAAATCAAGCAAATTTGGAACGCGCGCCACAATTATTTTTAGGCATCGTCATAATGAAGCCTAAAATCTGATTGGCCAATTTATAACCTTCCAGACAATAATCGATATGTTTTTACCTTGTTGCCGCTTCCTATAAAGAATTATTAACATTCCGGATAACGGACAATTTAAAGGTTAAAATCGTATAATTTAACACAGAAACATATATATTAAAACTAAAAGAATAATTGATTAAATTCAGTTTTTATGAAGCAACTTGACACTTTTTCACTATTTCAATAAACTTTTCTTCTTAATCGAAATGTTATTCAAATCATAATCACCACATCGCAAAATATTTTCTCTGAATCTGGCAACCTCGTTTTCGATTGCGAGATTATTTTGATTTATTTTTTAAAAATGGCTTAAGTACAAACAGGATTAAAAGAAGAATCTTTATACAGCTTACCCAACGTGGATTCTAACATGATTAATGATTTTTTATATAAATAATATATAATTTATGGATTCTGAAATTCGCAACGTAAGTACACTTTCTAAGTTCCAAATCTTTCTAGAATTATTGTATTCTAAGAGATTTGTATTTAAGAAACATTTTTTTATTATACAAACTACTTACTATGAGAAATAAAAACATAATTTTATTCCGATTTTAGAAAGAGATAACTATCATAAATGTCACTATTAGAAAAAGATAAAGATCAACTGTCTAGTTTTACGTTATCACAGATTCTTTAGTGACCAAGCGCTTCATTATGACGCGGTTAATGGCGCAAAAATGAGGCGTTTTAAATAATTGATTTAAAAGTGAATTTATTATCTATTTAAAGAATTTATTGCATGAAAAAAAAGTTTTTTTGTACTTAAGTAATCTTGACGTGGTGAGAAGGCTTGCGTGCTTAAATCTCTTTAGAAATTAAAGTCAAACCAATACATTTCAAAATCATTTAAATTTTTCATATTAAGAGGACGAAAATAACAGTTCAAGCATTTTTTGTAACATCCTACATTGATTTTTAATATTCAATGTAATATTTAAATACTTCAATTAAATGAAATAAATAGTAGATGAGAATAATATAGTTTCACGGTAAATATAATGCGAATAATCTGATAATTTTTAAATGCGTATATTTCCACTTGAAATATACAATAATCTTGAATTAAAGCACAACATTCAACTAATTAGATCCGTCCCTGGACTTTGGTTATAGATGTCTATATACGAATCCCTTTGTTTACCTTCAACTATACTTGGCATTTTATGAGAAGTTGCGCAAAATACGTCTACTCAGGACAACACATGGACAACAATATAGTAAGTAGGTACTTCTAGTCAATAACTGCCAAATAAAAAATTATACATTGTGATTGGGTTATATTAATAAAACCGAAGCAAACGATTTTACTTTAAATTTTTCCACATCCTGAGCCTTGCTTTGTTTTAGAACCGTCGGTGTAGATATGAATCGTACCTGCCACTTCTGGCTCTTCTATTTGTTGTATTATAACTTTATATGGCTTATGGAAGATATATATATCGGTGAGATGGAGTTCATGTTCACTTGACGCAGTGGGAGCGTCTCACCAGATCCTACATCAAGTTCTATTCCAACCGAGCCGAGGCATTTCATTGTCTTCCATTGCTTTGGTCGGTGTGGTTTTATGGCTTCTGATGTCTTGAGACATGCTGTTCTTTGAATTTGTTTTAGCTTGCGAATAGCTCTTGATTTTTGGGTTTTCGGTGCCCAGACAACTGCACCGTTTGTTAGCATAGGTCTTATAATGACATTGATGGCTGTGACTCTGTTTTTTAATTGTGAGTACCATGTTAACATGCTATTAAAGGTGAGACCTAAGTACTTCACCTCTGTTGCTTCAGACCCAGAGATCATCTTGCCTCTCTGTAGCCTGTTAGTTAGAATGGAACTAGAGTGCTCATCTTCTTTTTTAGAAGTGGTCTATCCTCCTGTGCGGGAGCTGAACTTTGTTGTCCAGCACTTGTTGCAGGAGGTGAGCGCAGACATCTTCCTTTTTTGGAGCTGATCATCGCTGTCTAGCCTCCCGGGCCGAAGCTGGATTTTGTTGTCCAGTCTCCTTTACTAGAGATGAGCGTTGACGTCTAGTTCCTTTGAGGTTTTGTATTGCAGTGTCCATATGGTTACCACGAGTAGCTAGGGATGGACAGATTCTATATGGGTGTCTGTAAAAGGTCTTTACAAAAACATACCACATATTCCTTAGACCAAAATAAGTCGATTTAAGTAAAGTTACCTTAGTACAAAGTTGCTTCGTTTGGGATCCAGAGGGCCTTGAAGTTACAATTTTTAAATCGTTTTTCCCATATAAATTTAAAACGGCATATGCGATTTTACTGAAATTTGGTATATTGGTAGAGTTTTGTGGCAAAAAAAAATGGTATTAAAATTTTGTCCAATAATAATACATAGGCGTAGAACTTGATTTTTTAAATAATTGCACCTTTAAAAATTCTACGCCAATGGAAGAAAAGGAGTTTGAGTATAAAATTTAGATTGCGCAACTCATTTACTTTAAAAAAGGTACTCTTGATAAGACTCGATTATTCTCATGGTTTTGACGGAATTTGCATTTTAGTAATTTTAGAACAATAATTATTAAAATACAAACTTTGTCAAAACCATGAGAGTAAATCGAGTGTTATCAAGAGTACTTTTTTGTAATAAATGAGTACCCAATCCAAATTTCATACTCAAACCCCTTTTTTGCCATTGGCGTAGAATTTTTAAAGGTACAATTATTTAAAAAATCAAGTTCTACGCCTGTATTATTATCGGACAAAATTTTATACGATGAAAAACATAAAAATGTACTTTTTTCATATCTTTTTCAACACCTCTAATCGAGACTTTTAACAAAAATACTCGATTCTTGCCATGTACGATTTTTTGAGGAATATTAATTATTTACCTGCAATACGTATACAAAAACATTTATTGTTGGTTTCCATAGTTTCATATAAATAAAAATATTGTCAAGTTTTAACACCTAATCTCTTGTTAACGATTGAAAGTGTTCTATCTGACTTAATAATTAAAAAAACAAATGCGTGGTTTATTAATATGGCTGTACAATATACCAATGCAGAATATACCGATATGTTACTGACATTAGGATTTTGTGAAGGAAATGCTCGAGAGAGTGGCAGGGTGTACTCTGAAAGGTTTTCAAATCGTCGTGTACCTAGCCACCCAACTTTTGCTGCTGTTGAGAGACGTCTTCGGGAGACCGGTTCTTTTACTCCCAACACTGTTGATAATGGAAGAGAACGTTTTGTAAGGATTCCTGAAGTTGAAGAAGACATTTTAGAACGTGTTGAAGAAGATCCAGAATTAAGCACCAGACGAATTGGAAGGGAACTAGGAGTAAGTAAAGATGTCGTTCATGAAGTGCTTAGAGAACAATTGCTATATCCATACCAAAAGAAGCCAGTACAAGAATTATTAGTCCATGATCCTCAAATTCGTTTGGGTTTTTGTCGATTTGTTAACATGCAAAGAGAAAGAGATCCAAACTTTGTCAAGAAGGTTATCTTTACCGATGAAGCGGGTTTTACAAGAAGAGGTATAACTAGTACCCATAATGAACATGTTTATGCCGTTGAAAATCCGCATGCAATAAAGGTAAACCATTTTCACCACGAATTCAAAATTAATGTGTGGGCTGGAATAATTGGTAATTTCATTGTTGGTCCTGTCATACTTCCACGAAGATTGTTGGATTTTCTACAAAATACCTTGCCAGAATTGTTAGAAGATTTACCTCTCCAACTTCGGAGAGATATGTGGTTTATGCAAGATGGAGCTCCACCACATTTTTCTTTAAACGTTAGAAACCACTTGAATGAACAATATCCACACAAATGGATAGGCAGAGGTAATGACGCATCTGTAAACTGGCCACCACGTTCCCCAGACCTAACACCGATGGATTACTTTTTATGGGGACATCTGAAATCCACAGTTTACAGGGAACCTGTAGAAAATGAGGAACAACTCTGGCAACGTATTCAAGATGCAATAAACAATCTTAGAGGTGATGAAGAAGTTATGGAAAGGATACATTTTAATTTTCTTCGACGTATAAATCTTTGTATGCGTGAAAATGGTGAACATTTTGAACAATTTTTGTAAAATCTCTATTTTGATTATGTTGTAAATAAATATTTTTCTGAAACCTATACACTTTAAATTATTAAAACAATAATAATAATAATAGGTGGTGACTTTAATTGTTGGATTTCAGCTCAAGGCATTGTGCCTGTTGAAATAATAGAAATCGCAAATCTATTTAGTAATAGGCTAAGCTTGGATACTATATTTAATTCTAGAGGTAGGCACTTGATTGATTTTATGTATGAAAATTCCTTTTTAGTTATTAACGGTAGAAGTACACTCGATAGACCTGGTAAATTTACATATGTAAGCAAACTGGGCAAGAGTGTGGTTGACATGGTCTGGGTTAATAATATATTTCTTTCAGATCTAAATAATTTTTTTGTTAGTGAAGATGATTTTTTATCTGACCACTTTCATGTGAATTTAGTACTAAACTTTGATGTTACATCATCATACTCTCAAACTAATGAATTAAGAAGTGATATTCAAAACCATAAAAAAATTATCTGGAAAAACTCTTTATCTTTAAGTTATAAATTAAAAATGTTGTTTTTGTGTTTTAAGATCTAATTTTTTATATCTGTACTCATTGCTGTAACTCAGGTTTAGAAGCAATAAATATTATTATTATTATTATTATTATTATTATTATTATTATTAATTATTAAAACAGAAATTTAGCGAAAACCATGAGAGTAATCGAGTCTTATGAAGAGTGTCTTTTTTAAAGTAAATGAGTTGCGCAATCTAAATTTCATACTCAAACTCCTTTTCTTCCATTGGCGTAGAATTTTTAAAGGTGCAATTATTTAAAAAATGAAGTTCTACGCCTATGTATTATTATCGAACAAAATTTTAATACCAGTTATTTGCCACATAAAACTCTACCAATATACCAAATTTCAGCAAAATCGCATATGCCGTTTTAAATTTATATGGGAAAAACAATTTAAAAATTGTAACTTCAAGGCCCTCTGGAGCCCAAAGGAAGCAACTTTGTACTAAGGTAATTTTACTTAAATCGACTTATTTTGGTCTAAGGAATATGTGGTATGTTTTTGTAAAGACCTTTTACAAACACCCTGTTATATTTGTCTTAATTCTCGAGGTACTTCATTGCACTTTATTGCACAACATACGTGAATTCTATTCTATTGTTATTCTATTTGTTTTAATAATTATTATTTTTGTAACAATATTTTAATATTAATAAACTTCATACGTAAAATAAACATTTAATTATTTGTGTAGTTTACAAAAGCCTGCTTTAGAAACATTTTTCGTGAACCACTCCATAGCATTTGTACTACATTAATAGTCAAATATTGAAAAATGTTAATGAAAGAATAAACGTAATCATTTTTTATTACTATTCTTATCTAATCTGTAAATTTCACTGTCTAGTTCATCAAAATATGAAAATTTACTTATATCTGCAAAATCACGTTCCTACTTAAAGATTAAATCATTTATATAACATACTTAATAGCAAAATAATGATTTAATTGTGAAACAACAATAGACCATTCAACGTTGGGTATGTGAGTAAATTTTTATCAGTTTCTGAAACACACATAAAAATAATTTCCTGTAGAGTTTGTAGTTTGTAGCATGTGGCTGATGAGTGTAGTGCGGACTGTGTAGAGATAAAAGGTAGTAGCTATTCAACCATCGCATCGTTCATAATCAGTAATATCTAAAATACATTTTAACATCGTTAAGAAGATTCTTAATTCTTTGGAATATTTTTTTATGTATTTTAAGTGATAATTCTTTACCACGTTGTCCGTTTTCTATGATTCTTTTTTTGTTAGAAAAGGGATACCTCAGGGATAGTTTCGTATACAATTAGTCAGGATCTGATGATCAATTTTTAAGGGCATCAGCACGATTTTGAAAATTACTTTTATAATTTGTCTAATGCAATATCTATTCAACCAAAGCTCATCTTATCTTAATATTAAAATCAAAATATTGATCCTTTTTTAATAATGGTTTCATTAACATCTTGCCTGATCAAAGCATAGTATTTTAAGAATTTCAATAGATATCTTACGATAAAATAGAGACTTAAATTATCTTTTTCAAATGATTTATCACAATGATAGATTTTTCAAGGACAAATTTTGAATTATATTTAAAAATATTTCTATTTGCATTTTTTAAACTATGAACTCATGTAGGTACAGTTAATACTATTTTATATAAGTAAAAAATAAGAGAACAAACAATTAGTAAGGAATTTTACGTTTTAATTTAATAATTATCTTCGAATTTGGCATTTGGAACATGAGGGAATGATTTTCAGGGTACTTTCTTGGACAAATCTTTTTTGTTTATCATATAAGAAATAAATTTGTTTCATAAATTCGTACATCTGGTATAGCAGTTTTATTAAAAAAAAATTCTTTATAATTGACGATCCTGGTTTATAAAAATCATTAAGGTCATCAATTTCGATTTTTTTAAGAATCAGCCATATTATTATGATCATTTTGAGATAGGTATATTTATAACAAATGTAGGTATTATTTTTATTGAGAACGTATATGCTATTTTATTAGGTATAAATAACAATTTGCAATGAATCTAAAATATAACCCTGAGGTATACCGTATTTAAATTCATATAACAAATTGCAAGTAGAATAAATAGCAGTTTTGTCTGTATAGAATGGCCCATTATGGAATTTTAATTTTTAATGATATAAAAAACAAATTATATTAAAATTAAAAATAGAATATGCATACATATACAGGGTGTCCCAAAGAAAAGTAGCCCATTTTGATTTTGCTGATATGTGGAGCTTGGAAAATATGCATTTAAAAATGGTCTAAATATGTATGCATTTATGCGTTAACAATAGACAAAATATGCTTTTAAATATGCAAAATAAAAAGCTAGTCATTTTTTATATTTAAATTTTATTATAGACTTTTAGATGATTTTACATTTCTATCAATTACATCTAATTAATTATTATTATTATTAGAATAAAAACAATAAGTTATTAAATAGTTTTCATTGTTTTCAATAGTGAAATATTGCCACTTGAAATGTTTGTACGCCGAAAATGAACGTTCCACTTCACAAGACGTTATAGGTGCATACTTAAATTTTGATATTAAAAGTGGTGAAATATTTGAATCCAATTCATTATTAAAGTTGCCAGATAAAACATTATTTATGCCCTCTAATGTCTAAAATCCTTTATTATTTAGTAAAACTGATGTAAATTTTTGTGTAACAATATTTTCCATTAACACAGACTGTTCAATAAAAGATTTTAAATTTTTAACTGTTTGTATGCTTTCAAATAATGCCGTACCTCGAGATTCAAGCTTAGTTATGGCTGGGCTATGCATGTATAATTTGCTTGAATGTGGACAATATGGCTATAAACTATAAGATCGTTAAGAGTATCGATGTTTTTTTTTTAATTGCAATTGAGTCTTCTGGGTCAAAGTCGCAGATGACATCTTTAATTTCGTTAAAATTTGTCGCAATGAAAGTAATACAGTTTAACCAAGTTCCCCATCGTGTTAAAACTGGTTCTGGTAGCAATGGAATTCCTGGCAAACGATCCTTATAAAATTGAACCCGAAGAGGAGCTTTTACAAAAACCTTTTTAATATTTTTAATTAAATCATTTACGAGTGGAAATTCATTCCTAACCGTCTCAGCCACCCTATTTAAACCATGTGCTAAGCATGTGTAATGGATTAAATTCAGATATTTTTAAGTTTCCAGCTGCTTTTACCATGTATGCAGCAGCATCAGTGACCATTAATAAAATATTGTTTCTAGGCACTTGTCTAGGTAAATAAAAATTTATTAACGAATCGTTAATAAATCTGGTTATCGGTTAATTATTAGGAGTTTAGAAAGCAAAATACCCACTTGGTTAATATTTCGTGGTAAAATGCAGGTACAATTGAAAAATATTATAATATTTAGATATCGCACCCCTGTTTCAATAGTGCTACAACCTTATAAATGTTAATTTTACAGGAGAAGCGAAGAAAAACGATTGTGGATGTAATATTTTTTTGAGCAGCATTTTCAGTACTTGTGCTTACCAAATTCGGTATACACATTGATTAAAGATGTTTCTACTGATTAATGATACATGTAATGTAATGTGAAATCTACACAGATAAAGCCTTGGCTTCTTTGAACACGCCGTCGCAGTGAGCGGACAGTCCGTCGACCGCTGAGGACAGCAATTTTCGCCCGAGGTGGTTTGTTAAAAAATATAGAAAATGATACTTTCTCTAGGTCTGTACGTGGCTGTTTATGTATTATGAATGTAAACGAAAGGTACTAAAATGGATGCAAATAAATTGTTTGCGTTATTATTGTTGGAAGAGGAAGAACAAGAGGAACTGGCAACTGCAACCGTCAAAGTTTCCAATAAGCCAGTGGATGAGTTGTTTTTGTGTCGCGATACAGAAAATGCCTTTAATATCACTGTGCAGCGGAGGATTTTTGGAAATGAAACAAATTTAGGGAGTATTTTAGACTTTCTACAGTTTTTTTTGAATTCGTGTTGAGTTTTATAAAGGACATAATTTCCAAGAAACCTAAAAATAAAGTCATGATGTCATCTGTATTTGTGTGTCACTCATTGTTTTAAAATTAATAACAATATAGTCTCCTCACACGCCGACGATTCCGCTGATATCAAACTCAACAGATATCAACCGACTCTTCGCGACAAATCAGCGGCATGACGCCGTCCTGCTCAGCAAAGCGGATTCAAGAAAACCATTCCCATTTAAATACTCTGGTTGGATAAAATCGTCAAAACGCTACGGTTGACGGTAGACATGTGTAACGCAGCGTTGCGTTGCGTTATTGCGTTAACGCAGTTGTATGCGTTACGAGCGTTGATACACCAGTTGTTACTGTATCAGCGCAACGCAATTTTCGATACTGAGTCGAAAGAATCGCGAGTTGTTGGTGCGCCATGCGCCAGGCACTGATTCCGTTTTCCGTGACGAGTTGAGAATTTTAATTTACGTAATTGATGCAACTCGTAATGCAGATTACCCAAAATCTATCAAGTAATGATGTTTTTTGCAACATTTCACATCATTTGTAGGATTGTAGGTCGAATTTTATGAATTTTAATCTTGTACACTGTCAATTTTTAGTTCTTCCCAATTTGATTGGCTACAAGTATACAAAATTTATATCCTTTTTATATAAATTGGAATTTTTGTATTTTTTGTAAAATCCGAACACAATGAAATAAAAAAATGAGTGCATTACACTGTTATATTTTCGTTTATTTTTAAACATATAATAAAAAAAATTTAGTTAAATTCCCAATTGCGTTATTGCCTTGAACACGGTTTGACCCTTATAAAAGGACAGCCCGCGCTGAATAACACCGGTATCATGCGATACACCGAGGTGCATCGACTTCATTCGGCGCAGGCAGTGGTGTGACGCAATAACGCAATTGCGTTAACGCAATGAGTTGGCGCAATAGAGTGCGCCGGAGTTAGTGTATCAACGCAAAGAATTTTAGTGCGTTACCCATGTCTAGTTGACGGACTTTCCGCGTTCAAAGAAACCAAGGCTTAAGCCTAAAACAAAAAAATGTTATTATGATATGGCAATACTGTTGATGGCGCCTCACGCGGAATTTATTAGAACTATTGATATGGTACTTTTATGTATTGTAAAAAATGTCAATTTAATTTTTTTTTAGGGATATGGCACTATTGAAAAAGAGGTGCGATATGTATTATTATTTTAGATACGCAATATAAAATTCTGCACTAAATATGCAGGCATGCACTTTATATGCATTTTGCTATAAGTTTTACTTCAATGACATAGAAATTATGTATTACCTAAAAATCTCCTCTTTTAAATTCACCGTAACCAAATTTAATTAAATGGAAACGGGCTACTTTTCATTGGGCCACCCTGTATTGTTTAAACTAAAAACATACGAAAAGCTATAATAGTACTAGTAGTTACTACCGTTATTAAAATTCCTACGCATAACGTATCCAGTTGGCCAGCCAGTTGTGTTTCTATTTGCATGGTTATAGCTAACCATACACGTCGAATATTATCTTTCAAGTACGTTGGTTGGTATTGCGGTTTTTTTCTGTTATTTAATTGATAATATTATTGTTATTGTAAATGCTTGGATATTAATTTTGATTCTTTTCTTTATTTTCGTAAAATAAATTATTCATTTATTTAGACTTTAATGATATTAGTTTACACAAATTTTTCACATTATTTATAATAATAATAATAATAATAATAATAATAGGGGTGTTTGTGGCTCAGTGGTAGAGCCTCTGCCTGTGGATCCAAGGGTCCCAGGTTCGAATCCCACCGTTGGCCGGAATTTTTTCATTTAATTTAAATATTTAAAATTAATTCTGATGCCTTGGTAGGATTCCCCACTCGACCATTCACTGTTGGGTTCTAATTAACAGTGCTGTTCCTTAAGTGGCGCTGGGAAACAATAACAAAACCTACACAGAACACGAGGCGAAATAACCTTAGCAGTTGAAGCCGATGACACACCAAAAAAAAATAATAATAATAATAATGTTTGTTTACCAAAAAGCAAAAATACAATACAAATTTATTTTTAAAGGAGGGGGGGGATATATGTAAATAAAGAATTGTGTTCCCATAAAAACCAATGGTTGTGCACTGGTTGAACTTGTTTATTTGCAACTAATGAATGTTAGTAAGAAACATAATATAATACCTCAATTAAAAATACCATATTTTGATCAGACACAATACTTACAGTCTGTTCGCTATACATACGCGGGTTATGGAATAACAAAATTATGCAAATTAGTCATTGACAACCAGTTCCAATAAGCCTCTTCCCAAGAAATTAGGTAAAATTGCCCTAATGGTCAGATTTAAATTAAAATAACATTAGGATAGGTACTAAATTTGTTACAAATATTGCAGTTGAATTGATTCTTTGCAAGTGATGGCATTGTATGTATATTGTAAATTTACTGGAAATTTTAAAAATGTCTAGACGTGTGTTAGATGTAGCAGTGGCGGCACGTGGAGATGTTCACAGTGACAGAATATAGGTATCAGTACAGATGTATGAAAAAACGTTCAGTGTTTTAGAAAGTTTATAATATACCTTTCTCAAACATTGGCGGTTTTTTAGCTATATCTGTACCGGAATCTATATTATGCTACTGTGAACCCCTAAAATTTTGGTTACTAGCCGCCCCTGAGATGTAGATAGTCTTATTTGTAGGGTACATACGTACTTTACGAATGAAAAAGAAAATAGCGGTCCTTTAAAATCGGTAATGTCTGTACAACAACGCGTATGCGATGCTCTAAGAATTAGTGAAAACAAATTAAGAGGAGTATTACAAAATCATAATAGTGAACTGCCGAAAGAAGATCACCGCAAAACTCTCCCATCATTGAAAACGAAAGATATTCCATATGGAAAGAAATTTGAAATTCGTGATATCATTTATCGAATGACGGCCAACAAGGAACATGTGACCTTAAATACAATTTTCTCGGAATTAATAGATAGAAAATTTGACGACATTGGCAGAACAAGTCTATGGCAAGTGATACATAACTTGGGTTTCAAATTTCAAAAGGAGGATAACAGAAAGGCCCTTTGTGAAAGAAGTTCTGTCGTGTACAAGAGAATTAACTTTCTAAGAAAATATTCTAAATTTAAAAAAGAAGGGGCGAATTTTATATATTTAGACGAAACATTAATATTTTCTAGAGTTGCAACCAAGAGAATATGGCAAGATGATAACGTAAAGTCCATCAAACATACCGATGGAGAAGGGAACCTACATATAATTTTACATGCAGGACGGAAATCGGGTTTTATAGAAGGTGCTGATTTAATATTTTCATCTAAATCAAAATCCAGTGACTATCACGATAATATGAACACAGAAATGTTTGTAAAATGGTTGCATGAAAAACTTCTCCCAGGTTTAAGTGAGCTCAGCGTAATTATTTTAGACAATGCACCTTACCATTCTAAAGTATTAAACAAAAGTCCAACGAATTCTTGGACTGTTGATAAAATTAAAGAATGGTTGACAATGGAACATATACCATTTCCTCAATATATATTAAAATCAGAATTATTAGGCTTAGCAAATATACACGCAAAACCAAAAACCTTTGTTATGGATCAGATTATTGAAAGTTACGGTCATCAAGTTTTACGTCTGCCACCGTATTATTGCCAGTTTAACCCCTTCTAATATATATGAGGAATAGCAAAACAATATTATGACAACCATATTGAGCCTAATGGTTATAGTAACGACGCAGTTCGGGAAACTTGGCGAAAAGCACTTTCAATTGCAACTCCAGAAGTGTGGCGGAACTGTATATCAAAGTGCGAGAAACTAATAGATTGGTGGACTCGTGAAAATAAAATAAACGAAATAAGTCCAATCATAATAACAATTAATGGTGATGATGATGACGATTATGATATTTTGGATGATAATGACTGATTTTCATTTTTGTTGACAAGTTCAATTTTTTTATTTTTCATTTGAAATTCTCTACATGAAACAAATTTTTATGTTAGAAAATATTTTATTTGAGCTAAATAACCCTCTTATTATACATAGACCATATTTTCTGTGTGAAGTGTAATATAAAATTATTATTAGATTCCATTAATGAAGAAGTTTAATTCTGCTCTCAATTATACAAAAGATTCTCCATTATTATTTAATTAAAAAGTTGTACATTATTTTTCATTTCATTTAACCAGTTGATATTTCCCCAAAGAGCAGGTCAAACTTTCGGGTACTTACCTGGAAATACTCAAAATTTTTAATCCGAAACCTGCGTAAGTATAGCGAACAGACGTAGGGATACCCCAGGGGACTGTATTAGGTCCGATTTTATTTCTAATATATGTAAATAATATTTTTAACATAAAAAATGTCAAAGGAAAATTAGTTTGCTATGCTGATGATACTGCACTTATTATTACTGGGAAAACTTATAATGAAGGTCAACCTACTACAGAAACATGTTTAAAAAATATAAAAATTTGGTTAAATCATAATTTACTCAGTTTAACTTTAGTAAAAACAAAATATATAACTTTTTCTCCTACACTAATACTAAATCTCAATACCAAATCTCAAACTACATAAACTTGCGTGTGATAAATATAAATGTTCGTGTCCTGTATTAGAAAAAAACACAGATTTTATCAATAAAGATTATTTTTCCTTTCAATTTATAATAATACTATTGTAGGGGAAAGGTTTATTAACACACTTTTGTCAATGAAATGATCCGCTTTGATTTGAGTTGACAATGGATAGACTTTAGATTTTTCTTTTCTAACTAATATTCTCTGATCATACCATCCAATCCTATAGAAGCAGCATTACAAACTACCTCTGCTTTCGCTGAAGACATGCTTATCATGCTTGAACATTGGTCGATGTCAATACATTGAAAAACTTAACCTCAATTAAATATTTTGTATCCATGAATCTTGAAATATACTGGTAGTGAATCTGCTAAACTGTAGTTTTTGGATTTATACCGATAATCCATTTTCTGACCTTCATTTATCTAAATACTCAGATTAATTAGTGGTCAACGCAATGAACTTGTGCGATCTGGCCTTGAGCGAACTGAATACGTTAATTATTACTTGTATATACCGTGTTTGCAAAAGATAATTGTTTGAAGAACTAACAAATAGTTTTATCGTATTAGTTTAGTGTTTATATGGCGTAAAATTAATCTCCACGCTTTTGTTTCAAATTATATACGTGGAATAGACAAATTTTAGACAGTAAGTAGAAAATCCGGGTAATATTTTTTAGTCTTGACACAATACGAGCTAAATATAGTGTGGCTCAAAGAAAAAGAAGAGTATCATTATTTCTATTTTGAAATTTTCGTGTATACGGTTTTACCTTATCAAGTATACTAAAGATACAACTTTTGTTGTGTAGAAAATAACATTATAAATAAAATAAAAGAAGTTAAATTGTAATTTGGATAGTGATTTTCTTGGAATTTAGTTGTATTTAATAAAAATACTGTGATTTAAATTTGTATCTTTTGTTGATACCTGGGACCTATTTCATAAAACTATTTTGTAACTTTTTACTTTGTATTTTGCAAATTTACGAGTATGTTTCATAAAATAATATCGTTATCTTTGCAGTTTAATAATTTCTCATTTTCACTTTGCAAATTTTAAAAAAGTAATTTTATGAAATAAGCTCTTGGTTTGTAACTTCTTCAGTAATTATTGGTTATGTATTGATATTTTTCTTTTAAAAATGTTTGTTTGTATACATTTATATAATTATCATATTATTATTGATTTTTACAAATTATTTGACATCGGTAATTGAGAAAAAACAAGTCACAATGGTTTAACCCTTTATTAGTCGCGTATATTCAAACCTGCCAGATACATCACTAATATTTATTCAAATTTTTTAATAAACGATTTTATTAATTATTTTTTAAATCCATTTAAAGCTTCAAAATCATTAATTTGAAAATAAAATGGAGGAAAACAGGATAAATGAAAAATTAAAAAAGGCCCATCCATTACAAAGGACCAACTTTTTTTCAAGGCTATTTTTTTGGTGAGTACAACAAATATTAAATACATTTCATTATACAATATTTATATAGACGCTTTTTGACTCATACCATATAAAAATAATAAACATATATTTTTTCACTTTCTACAAATTTCTTATTCATAAAACATTATGTAAAGGGGAATAAATGGCCCAATAAATGTTACTCTTCAATTGTAATGATGCTTTCTGTAATTAGAAGGCCGGCATATATATAGCTCACTACCGCCGAAAGTCGGGCCGAAGTCACTTAACTATCAAAACCATTTAATAGGCCTCCATTTTCCCTTTAATGTCTTTAAATATATTGGCAATTAATGATGGAAAGTTAACGGGACATTGCAGAATATTTACCATATTAATACTGACAGACGGATGACCAGTACCTCAATGACCAGTAGTACCGTTTGAATTATAAATTCTATACTTAAAAAGAAGGCATTCCAATATAGAATATTGTAGACATATTATTTAATTCAGCTATGTAATATAATAATAGAGAAAAACATGTCTTCTAAAAATAAAATATTCTAAATGAACAACAGCAACGAGCGATCATCGGTGCCTCCATCTATGAACGCAGGACGGAACCCTTAGGACTATTGAGTATGCGGCAGTTAAAAGCCTTTTAACTTTTACCATGCTATTACCCAATACAGTTAGTTTCCCTTCATAAACCCATCATCAACCAACATAATGCTGGGCCACTACCGAAATGCCAAAAGTAGCTTTATATCTTTTAATCATCGCATTCATTTTCCCTTTAATTACAGCAAAAGGCCAGCAATATCCCGACAATTCATTGTTTGTTAAGTATTTATATTATTTTTTTTTTATTTGTTAGTTGGTTACCTCCATACCTTTTCAAAGGCTTGAGAAGGAATATTGATGAAGATGATATGTACCTCACAAGTAACGCGCAAAAATCCGTCAATTTGGGAAGACGATTAGAAGACGCATGGAATAAGGAATTAAAAAAGGAAAAACCATCACTGATGTGGGCACTATTTAAAGTTTTTAGATGTGAAATACTGGTGTATGCCGTTTACAATACAGTTGCCGATTTTATCAAGTAATATATTATTCTTTTAATATTCCGTTACAGTATTTTAGATTATTTAGATTTTTTAGACAACTCTTTAGGCTCTTTAGGCTCTTTAGGCTCTTTAGGCTCTTTAGGCTCTTTAGGCTCTTTAGGCTCTTTAGACTCTGTAGACTCTTTAGACTCTTTAGACTCTTTGTTTAGACTCTTTAGACTCTTTAGACTCTTTAGACTCTTTAGACTCTTTAGACTCTTTAGACTCTTTAGACTCTTTAGACTCTTTAGACTCTTTAGACTCTTTAGACTCTTTAGACTCTTTAGACTCTTTAGACTCTTTAGACTCTTTAGACTCTTTAGACTCTTTAGACTCTTTAGACTCTTTAGACTCTTTAGACTCTTTAGACTCTTTAGACTCTTTAGACTCTTTAGACTCTTTAGACTCTTTAGACTCTTTAGACTCTTTAGACTCTTTAGACTCTTTAGACTCTTTAGACTCTTTAGACTCTTTAGACTCTTTAGACTCTTTAGACTCTTTAGACTCTTTAGAATCTTTAGAATCTTTAGAATCTTTAGAATCTTTAGAATCTTTAGAATCTTTAGAATCTTTAGAATCTTTAGAATCTTTAGAATCTTTAGAATCTTTAGAATCTTTAGAATCTTTAGAATCTTTAGAATCTTTAGAATCTTTAGAATCTTTAGAATCTTTAGAATCTTTAGAATCTTTAGAATCTTTAGAATCTTTAGAATCTTTAGAATCTTTAGAATCTTTAGAATCTTTAGAATCTTTAGAATCTTTAGAATCTTTAGAATCTTTAGAATCTTTAGAATCTTTAGAATCTTTAGAATCTTTAGAATCTTTAGAATCTTTAGAATCTTTAGAATCTTTAGAATCTTTAGAATCTTTAGAATCTTTAGAATCTTTAGAATCTTTAGAATCTTTAGAATCTTTAGAATCTTTAGAATCTTTAGAATCTTTAGAATCTTTAGAATCTTTAGAATCTTTAGAATCTTTAGAATCTTTAGAATCTTTAGAATCTTTAGAATCTTTAGAATCTTTAGAATCTTTAGAATCTTTAGAATCTTTAGAATCTTTAGAATCTTTAGAATCTTTAGAATCTTTAGAATCTTTAGAATCTTTAGAATCTTTAGAATCTTTAGAATCTTTAGAATCTTTAGAATCTTTAGAATCTTTAGAATCTTTAGAATCTTTAGAATCTTTAGAATCTTTAGAATCTTTAGAATCTTTAGAATCTTTAGAATCTTTAGAATCTTTAGAATCTTTAGAATCTTTAGAATCTTTAGAATCTTTAGAATCTTTAGAATCTTTAGAATCTTTAGAATCTTTAGAATCTTTAGAATCTTTAGAATATTTAGAATCTTTAGAATCTTTAAACTATCAAAGAAAATAAAATCAATAAATTATTTTTAGAATAATGCAACCAATATTGATCTCACAGCTAGTAACATACATACAGTCAAATAAACGTGGAGAATACCAGCAAGAAATCTACATATGTGCCTCTCTACTTATCCTAGCATCTTTATTTCTAGTGGTAGGCCTTCATCACTATCAAATGCTCGTAATGACGATGGGAATGAAAGTAAGAGTAGCCGCATGCGCATTAATCTACAGGAAAGCTCTAAAATTGAACAAAACTGCTCTAGCTGAAACAACGATTGGACAAATGGTTAATTTATTGTCTAATGATGTAGGCAGGTTTGAATATTCTTGTCAGCTGATGCATACCTTGTGGTTAGCACCGCTGGAAACCATTGTAGTTATGGTGATGTTATACTTTTACGTTGGACCCACAGGACTGGTTGGTTGTGCTTTTCTTCTGTTATTTATTCCTTTCCAAAGTAAGTAAAATCTGCACGATCAATCACTCTGTGTTTACTTTATATCTTTTTAGTTTACGTGGCCAAGTTGACATCAAAATTCAGACTCAAAACAGCTCTGCGCACAGATGAGAGAGTCAGATTAATGAACGAAATCATAGCTGGCGTTCAAGTAATCAAAATGTATACATGGGAAAAACCTTTTGCAAAATTAGTGGAAATAGTCAGAAAGTAACTATTTTATTTTATACTATGGAATACTATTTAAACTATTTTTTTGTGTTTTAGACGGGAAGTAACTGCAATTGGCCACATGTCAAACATTCGCGCCATTATGATGTCTTGTACAATGACTTTGAGCAGAATTGCTATCTTCTTATGCGTATTAACATACGTCTTTACTGGAAATACCCTAACGGCTTCATATGCCTTTACTATAACTTCCTTCTACAGTTTCCTAAGACAAACAGTAACTATGTTTTTCCCACAAGCTATAACACAATTTGCAGAGACAAGAGTGTCGGTTACTAGAATACAGAAATTCATGATGTACCCAGAGTTAATTAAAGAAGACGAAGACAGTAATTATAATAATATAACGATTAGTAGCAATGGAAACAGTAAATTAAGCATTACAGAAAAACAAGAAATCAGTATTAAACTTAAACACGTAGCAGTAAAATGGATCAAATCATCAACAGAAAATAATCTACAAAATATCAACTTTGAAGCACATTCCAATCAATTAGTAGCCTTAGTAGGTCCAGTTGGAGGCGGTAAATCTACTCTATTGCACGTTATTCTGAAAGAACTAGAACCCATATTTGGTTCTGTAAGCGTTTCTGGATCCATTTCTTACGCTTCCCAAGAACCATGGGTGTTTGGTGGGAGTATCAGACAGAATATTCTTTTTGGACAAGAGTATAATGAAAAGAGGTATCAAGAAGTAATAAGTGTTTGCGCATTGGAAAGAGATTTTTCACTATTACCTCATGGCGATAGGACTTTAGTAGGTGAAAGAGGAGCAACTCTAAGTGGAGGTCAAAGAGCAAGAATTAACCTAGCAAGAGCTGTATACAAGGAATCGGATATTTACCTTCTAGATGATCCTCTATCAGCTGTAGATACCCATGTTGGAAAACAGCTTTATAGAAGCTGCATTGCTGGTTACTTAAAGAACAAATGTGTGATATTAGTTACTCACCAATTGCAGTATTTACGTACAGCGAACTGCATCTACTTACTAGTCGATGGCGTGGTTAGAGCATCAGGTACATATCAAACATTGAAAAACTCTGAAAACGCCTTTACCAATCTCCTAGAATCATCAAAAGAGGACGAGAAAAAGGATATATTAAGGAGAATGTCTAGATCGGAATCAATTCAGTCACAGATGAACGAATATGATGAAGCAGAAGATGAAGGAGCAATAGAGCAACAGAAAGAAGAAAGAGCATCAGGTTCTGTTTCTAAAAAGGTTTATGTCAGCTATTTAAAAGCTGCTGGACATTGGACGAAAACGTTAGCGCTTTCTTTGTTGTTTATCTTTACGCAAACTTTTGCGAGCTTAACTGACATATTTCTTACCACATGGTGAGTATTATTTTTTAAATATAAGTCTATATAAAGATTGGTCTAGAGTAGATGGTCCAAGCTAACAAGAATAAGAAAAATCCGTGCAGTTATAGTTTACTATACAGAGTGTCTGTAAAAGGTCTTTACAAAAACATACCACATATTCCTTAGACCAAAATAAGTCGATTTAAGTAAAATTACCTTAGTACAAAGTTGCTTCGTTTGGGCTCCAGAGGGCCTTGAAGTTACAATTTTTAAATCGTTTTTCCCATATAAATTTAAAACGGCATATGCGATTTTGCTGAAATTTGGTATATTGGTAGAGTTTTATGTGGCAAAAAAATGGTATTTAAATTTTGTCCGATAATAATACATAGGCGTAGAACTTGATTTTTTAAATAATTGCACCTTTAAAAATTCTACGCCAATGGAAGAAAAGGAGTTTCAGTATGAAATTTAGATTGCGCAACTCATTTACTTTAAAAAAGATACTCTTGATAAGACTCGATTACTCTCATGGTTTTCGCTAAATTTCTGTTTAAATAATTTAGAGTGTAGATTTCACAAAAATATTTATTTACAACATAATCAAAATAGAGATTTTACAAAAATTGTTTAAAATGTTCACCATTTTCACGCATACAAAGATTTATACGTCGAAGAAAATTAAAATGTATCCTTTCCATAACTTCTTCATCACCTCTAAGATTGTTTATTGCATCTTGAATACGTTGCCAGAGTTGTTCCTCATTTTCTACAGGTTCCCTGTAAACTGTGGATTTTAGATGTCCCCATAAAAAGTAATCCATCGGTGTTAGGTCTGGGGAACGTAGTGGCCAGTTTACAGGTGCGTCATTACCTCTGCCTATCCATTTGTGTGGATATTGTTCATTCAAGTGGTTTCTAACGTTTAAAGAAAAATGTGGTGGAGCTCCATCTTGCATAGACCACACATCTCTCCGAAGTTGGAGAGGTAAATCTTCTAACAATTCTGGCAACGTATTTTGTAGAAAATCCAAATAATTTTCTCCAGTTGATCTTCGTGGAAGTATGACAGGACCAACAATGAAATTACCAATTATTCCAGCCTACACATTAATTTTGAATTCGTGCTGAAAATGGTTTACCTTTATTGCATGCGGATTTTCAACGGCATAAACATGTTCATTATGGGTATTAGTTATACCTCTTCCTGTAAAACCCGCTTCATCGGTAAAGAGAACCTTCTTGACAAAGTTTGGATCTCTTTCTCTTTGCATATTAACAAATCGACAAAAACCCAAACGAATTTGAGGATCATGGACTAATAATTCTTGTACTGGCTTCTTATGGTTTGGATATAGCAATTGTTCTCTAAGCACTTTATGAATGACATCTTTACTTACTCCTAGTTCCCTTCCAATTCGTCTGGTGCTTAATTGTGGATCTTCTTCAACACGTTCTAAAATGTCTTCTTCAACTTCAGGAATCCTTACAAAACGTTTTCTTCCATTATCAACAGTGTTGGGAGCAAAAATATCGGTCTCCTGAAGACGTCTCTCAACAGCAGCAAAAGTTGGGTGGCTAGGTACACGACGATTTGGAAACCTTTCAGAGTACACCCTGACACTTTCTCGAGCATTTCCTTCACAAAATCCTAATGTCAGTAACATATCGGTATATTCTGCATTGGTATATTGTACAGCCATATTAATAAACCACGCATTTGTATTTTTAATTATTGAGTCAGATAGAACACTTTCAATCGTTAACAAGAGATTAGGTGTTAAAACTTGAAAATATTTTTATTTAGATGAAACTATGGAAACCAACATTTACTACAAAAAAGTACCCTTGATAACACTCGATTTACTCTCATGGTTTTGACAAAGTTTGTATTTTAATAATTATTGTTTATGTTCTAACATTACTAAAATGCAAATTTCGTCAAAACCATGAGAGTAATCGAGTCTTATCAAGAGTACATGTTTTAAAGTAAATGAGTTGCGCAATCTAAATTTTATACTCAAACTCCTTTTCTTTCATTGGCGTAGAATTTTTAAAGGTGCAATTATTTAAAAAATCAAGTTCTACGCCTATGTATTATTATTGGACAAAACTTTAATACCATTTTTTTTGCCACATAAAACTCTACCAATATACCAAATTTCAGCAAAAGCGCATACGCCGTTTTAAATTTATATGGGAAAAACGATTTAAAAATTTTAACTTCAAGGCCCTCTGGAGCCCAAACGAAGCAACTTTGTACTAAGGTAATTTTACTTAAATCGACTTATTTTGGTCTAAAGAATATGTGGTATGTTTTTGTAAAGACCTTTTACAGACACCTTGTATAATGACAGTTGTCATATATAGTAAGTTTTTCATACAGAACCAATAACATTTATTTGATCATGCACTAATGGGTTAAAATCGTATTTTTAGAGAAAATACGTTAAGTACACAATCAGTTAAAAGTTGTACCATCTATAATATTGTATACGTTGTATACGCCATTTTGTGACGGAACTAAATATTTTATATTTTGTCCATGACCACTTAATAATAAATCAATATTCTACCTCCTAACTAAAAGCATATGGTACCCATATATCACTAGAGTGAATTATGATAATTCACGCTTTTGCAATTCTGGCAATTTCCGGTAGATAACTAAAGATGGGCGATACTTTTCACAACGATATTTTCTAGATCGAATAATCAGAAATTCGAAAAGTTGAAAAATTAAAAAATCGAAAAGTCAGAAATTTCAAAAATTGGAAAATCTGAAAATTAAAAAGTCGAAAAATCAAAAAATCGAAAAATGGAAAAATCGAAAAATCGAAAAATTGAAAAGTTAAAAAAACAATAGTTAGTTACCTATGTTTAATAAATTTTTCACTCTACACAACTTTTATTTAATAAAAAAACCATAATGATCGTGGACAAAGTATAGTATTAGACTCGCAATTTATGGCCATTATTCACTCGGGTGACTTGCGCACGTAACCCAGCGTGAATAATGGCTACCATAAATTGCTCGTTTAATAATATACTATAGTTCTTTAATAAATATCATAATTCACCTAATATTTTTGTTTTTAGGGTTAACACAGAACAATTAAGAAACGAAACCAATTTTAATAACACAATGAACTCGAATACTACATCAACGCAACATTTCTTGCTTCGACTCCTCAATAGAGATAACACGCTCATAATATACAGTTGTTTGGTGTTATTAACTGTGTCGTTTGCTATTACAAGATCATTATCGTTCTTTCGATTTTGCTTATCAGCGTCTACTCGATTACATAATGCTATGTTTGGAAAAATCGTATTCTCACCGATGCTTTTCTTTAATACCAATCCTTCTGGTAGGATTTTAAACAGATTTTCTAAAGATATTGGCTCTTTAGATGAGACTTTACCTATTTGTATCGTGGATACAGTAGGGGTAAGTATTTTTTACTCCAGAAGAAGTTCAAGGTCTAAATACAAGTAATTTTTTCTTTTAGATTGGCCTGATAGCTGCTGGTATCACTTTGACCATTGGCACAGTAAATCCATGGATTTTAATTCCAGCTGCAATATTGATGATTATTTTTTACTACATTCGAAAGTTGTTTCTGACTTCTTCAAGAAATATTAAACGTGTGGAAGCTGTAGGTAAGTAAATAAATGATTGCCTTGAAATTATCACTAACTTGTAACTGAAATATATAATCCTAATTGTATTTTTTTAGCAAGAAGTCCAATTTACACTCACTTATCGGCGTCTCTACAAGGTCTGACAACCATCAGAGCTTTTAGAGCAGAAGAAATACTCAGCAAAGAATTTGATAACTTTCAAGATGCATATACCTCCGCTTATTACATGTTTCTAACAGCTAATAGAGGATTTGGCTTTTGGTTGGATATGCATTGCTTAGTCTTAATAATATTTGTGGTTATTAGCATTCTTTTTATACAAGGAGGTAAGTTTCTATTTTTTTTTTTTTTAATAGATTTTACTACAATGATTATAGTCGAGGCAATGAAGCACTAAAAAGGCCAAAGTTACAGGGTTTTTCCTTGCAAGTCGCTTGCAAAAATTATTTGTATCATTCCCCCGTAATTTCCGGGTCATACAAACCGGAAATCGCATTGCTGCAGCCAAAAATGCATTCAAAAAATGCATTATTTGAGAGGCCTCTTGGATGATTTCAAAACTTGTTAAATAAGTGTCAGAACTAGCCCAGATCGGGTTCTCGGGCTTTTTCGAGGTCCCTGATCACGATTATGATGTCTAAATTGACCCACAGCCGACCTGGAGCTCAGGAACGTCGACGAACGTCATCTTCGTGGAACTCTCCCAAAATTCACGCGGGGAAGGAGGGCAACTAGGCTATCGGGGTTTTTGTGGGTCGCTGAATCCAAATATGATATCGACAAATACCCCCCGGACACCTGGTGCGCCCAAACCTCGACCTGGACGTCATCTCCGAGAAATTTCCTTACAATATCGACAAGAACAACCCGAAAATGATTAAGCGGAGTTTTTGGGGCGCTGAATCTAAATTTCACGTCGAAAACGACCCCCTGAACTCCTGGTGCACTAAAACTTGGCCCTGAACGTCATCCCCGAGGGGTTTCCAGACACAATTAAAAAAGACGAACCGAAAATCGTTCCGGGGGATTTTTTGGGGCGCTGAATCCGAATTTCACGTGGAAAACGACCCCCCGAACACTTGGTGCGCCCTAACCTGGCCCTGAACTTCTTCACCGAGGTTTTCCAGACCCAATTGAAAAAGACGAACTGAAAATCGTTAAAGGGGGGTTTTTGGGTCGCTGAATTCAAATATGGCATCGGCGAACACCCCACGGACACCTGGTGCATATGCCAGTAGTCGAGGATAATATTTTGTTGCTCCATGCAATAACAGGGTGCGATGCCGTTTCAGCAACGTATTACCAGGGAAAGACAAAATTTTTCAAGATCTTCCAGAACTTCCCAGATCTTCGAGATCATGCTGGGAAGTTCAAGGAAGCTGATTTGTCCAGCGAAATAATTTTTGAGAACGGGGCGCAGCTAATCCTGGCAATGTACAGTGCTCCAATATCATTCGAGAAACCAAATATTCCCGACAAGCCAAAATGGGACCAGTTACTCCAAACGTACAGGTGCGAAATGTACAGGAGAACCGCTGCGACGGACAGAGTAAATTTGGCCAAAATTCTCCCTACAGTAGACGCCATTCAACAACATCTAAAGAGGGTCTATTTTCAAGTACAAGAATGGCTACACGGAGACCAGCTGACCATGGACCCAACAAAATGGGGGTGGAGAAAGGAAGGCGACATACTAGTGCCTGTACAGATGGAAGAAAAACCTACGCCCAAGAATATTATGGAACTAATATTCTGTGGATGCAAAGGAGATTGTAATCTGAACACATGTAGTTGCAGGAAGCACGGCCTACCTTGCAATCTTGCCTGTAAAATTTGTGAAAGATATTCAGATGAAAACGTTAATGTGCCAGAGACAGAGGCCTCAGATGAGGGAGATGTTCCCCATATGAATACATCAGTCGATGACGAAGAAAATGACCAGACACATTTGAGTTATTAATTAATTAAGGAATGACAAACTTACAGGTTCATTGTATTTGATTTGAGGCCAATAAAAATTGTTTTACCGTAAATTACATAAATATTGCGTTTCTATTCATTCTCTTTCTTTCCTCCGCACGTAATCTAGAATCAACAATTGCACACAGCTATTGCATTATTGACGCCTCGGAGATGACGTCTAGGTCTAGGTTCAGACGCACCAGGTGTCCATGCGGTGTTCGCTGATGCCATATTTGAATTCAGCGACACAAACCCCCCCCCCCTTTAACGATTTTCGGTTCGTCTTTTTCAATTGGGTCTGGAAGAACCTCGGTGAAGACGTTCAGGGCCAAGTTAGGGCGCACCAGGTGTTCGGGGGGGTCGTTTTCCACATGAAATTCGGATTCAGCGCCCCAAAAAACCTCCCGGAACGATTTTCGGTTCGTCTTTTTCAATTGTGTCTGGAAACCCCTCGGGGATGACGTTCAGAGCCAAGTTCCGGTGCACCAGGTGTTCAGGGGGTCGTTTTCGACGTGAAATTTAGATTCAGCGCCCCAAAAAACTCTGCTCAATCATTCTCGGGTTGTTGTCGATATTGTGAGGAAAATTCTCGGAGATGACATCGTCGGGGTTTGGGCGCATCAGGTGTCCGGGGGGTATTCGCCGATGCCATATTTGGATTCAGCGACCCAAAAAAACCCCAATCGCCTAGTTGCCCTCCTTCCCCGCGTGAATTTTGGGAGAGTCCCACGAAGATGACGTTCGTCGACGTTCCTGAGCTCCAGGTCGGCTGTGGGTCAATTTAGACATCATAATCGTGATCAGGGACCTCGAAACCTCCCGAACACCCGATCTGGGCTAGTTCTGACACTTATTTAACAAGTTTTGAAATCATCCAAGAGGCCTCTCAAATAATGCATTTGTTTAATGCATTTTTGGCTGCAGCAATGCAATTTTCGGTTTGTATGACCCGGAAATTACGTTGTTTTTGAAACGCAGACCTCTTTGGTACAGCCCCAAAGCTGACTGTCCATACTGGTTTCAAGATTTGCTTGTATAACAGAAATTTATTTTATATGGACTTACGTTATGTCCTAGTATCCAATACATTTTTTAACTTGATATCAACTTTTTTCGTTTTTTTTAGACACGACTTCCAGTATACTCTTGTATCTAGGGTAATACCCCAATATTTTGCACTGAAGTTTTGGCATATTATTTGTCCAGCTTTTGATCTAAAGTTGGAACGTCACTAGTATAAAATAGGTAAAGGATTGATCCTAATGCACTCCGTTGTACCTAAATCCAAATTGATGGTCAGGAATTAATTTATTTTTTTCTATGTTTGGCTTTAATTTCCTCAGTAAAAGTTTTTCAAATTGTTTAGACATTACCGGTATTAACGAAATTGTTCTGGTTTAGGTATCATTAATATGTAACTTTCTATATCGAAATGCAGCATTTATTAGATGTGCCACTTTTATTATGCCTTTTTGTGAAAGTTGGTTTAAAACTTCTCCAGTAATCAAGTCAAATTATGGGCTCTCTTCGGATTTATGTTCTTCTTTTGGTGTAATAGGTCTTACCTATTCTTTTTGGTATTTCATCTTCTTCGTTCTATTTTAATTCTTGACAATGTTGCAACAGGCCATTTGCATTCCATTCCATTATTCTAAGAATAGATAAAATAACATAAAGATATTAATATTTTCATTTCAAGAATCCTTTGGAGGCAACGTAGGTCTATCGTTAACTCAAGCAGTAGCGCTTTCCGGAATGGTTCAATGGGGTATGAGACAGTGGAGCGAACTAGAGAACCAAATGACGTCCGTTGAAAGAGTTCAGGAATACGCAGATCTTCCGGTAGAACCAGATGTCCACAAACGTGATCCTCCATCAAATTGGCCGAGCTTAGGTAACGTCAAATTCGAGAATGTGAGTCTCAAATACGCAGAAGATGGTGAATATGTACTTAAGAATCTTAATTTCGAAATACAACCAAAGGAAAAAATCGGTATAGTCGGTAGAACCGGAGCTGGAAAGTCTTCATTGATCCAGGCTGTTTTTAGATTGGCCCAAATCGAAGGTAGCATATTTGTTGATGGTATTGACAGTAAAGATGTACAGTTGAGGATATTGAGATCGAAAATATCAATCATTCCTCAGGAGCCGGTGCTGTTTTCAGGTACGCTGAGAAAAAATTTGGATCCATTTGATGAATATAGAGATGAGGTAAGAAATGAATCACATTTTTGATTTAAAGTTACATTCATGGATTAAAATAAAATCCAATTTGGCAGCATCGCGAACAATTAGACGTGGCGCTATCCGAAACTTTATTGTGTTGTGTGTGCGTTTGTAGATGGTTTGCAATGTTTGCAGTTTTTTTAAATGAACAATTTAAATGGCAAATTCCGTTTCAGATTCTATGGGACGCTTTAGATGAAGTGGAGCTCAAACACGCCGTAAACGAGCTATCAGCAGGGTTGGACAGCAAAATGGCGGAAGGAGGCTCTAATTTCAGCGTAGGTCAACGACAACTAGTGTGTTTAGCTCGAGCTATAGTGCGAAATAATAAAATTCTAGTCCTAGATGAAGCTACAGCTAATGTAGACCCCTTGACCGATGCTATTATTCAAAATACTATAAGGGAAAAATTCGAAAATTGTACAGTATTAACCATAGCGCATAGACTTCACACCATCATGGATTCTGATAAGGTCCTGGTCATGGACGCAGGGCAGGCTGTCGAATTTGATCATCCTCATGTACTTTTACAGAAAAAAGGCGTATTTCATAGCCTTGTGAGACAAACCGGAAGCGTGATGGCAGCTAGTTTACAAGCCATAGCTGCTGAAAATTTTGAGAAAAACCCACATTAAATGTCAGTGTAGCGAAGACGCTGATTCCTAGGAATTTTTTTTTTATTTATTCTTTATTTGTAATTAAAATGTGATACTTATTTTTACAAAATAAATTAAAAATACTAAGTACATTAAATATGTGTTTGTATATTTTTGCACTAAAAATCTTCTACTAATATTGGTTGTGAGAAATTTAAATAAAATATGTGTTTTTGATGCTGTCCTTAACTTCTATTGTTCTTTCATTGTTCGTAAAAACATATAATATGAAAACATTGTTTTGTATGCCTAAAAATTTATTATATTCAAGAAAACTTGTATAGTTATAGTTAAACCAGAGATCTAGTGACTACCATAAAACAGCAGGTAATTTACTTATCTATAGGTCAATAATTGGGGTAAAATAAATATTAAGAAAAATTGCTATAATTCAGAATTGTTAATTTAATTATACAGTGTATACAAAAAGTAACGTGGTAACTTGGTAAAAGCAAAAATCAGTATGACAAAGTACAAAAAAGTAAATAAGTAATAAAAGTACTAAAAAGTAAAAAATAAAGTATTTAAAACTATAAAATGTAGGTTGAATATATAAAATTATTTTTGCATAAAATAGAACACATACTTGCAATATTTTATTTATTTTTTTACAAACATTTGAAAAAAATGGTGGTTCAACAGTTTAACCACTAGGACGCAACTGGCGCAACTACTTGCTATGATATATTTGATAACAGTTTCTTTTGTCCGATAGGTATAGCCCAACTGTACAAATGGAACAGTGCCATTTGGTACGATGAGGTTCTAACATCGAACGCTAGTGCCATATTTTGGCAAATGAGCAGCTTTATCTGTTCTTATTTCTATTGGTACACGTAATTTGAATGGATTTTCTGCAGTTTGTCTTCTTCTTGTCTCCGACGCATTGAGGTTAGCTCCGATCAAACCTGTTATTACTGACAATTTGAACTCCTTTAGTGGCATGACAGTCACATACTTTGATTTTCTTTACTATACGGTGCAAGAGAGAGGTCCGACACGCCCAACATAGGGCGCGGCCATTTTGATTCCTATGCCACAGTTTATAGCTAAAGAATCAGATCGCTCACTCTGCGTCGGCACTTTTGATCTCAATGTTCCAGTTTATACACTGCGCAACTCGGGTAATACAATATATGACGACCGCCTATAATAAAACAGCAGTCTTCTGCGTAACCTGAATTTGTATCCCTGGAGTAGATGTTATTTTGGAACTTTCAACTGGTCCGAGTGAACTAACTGATTCTTTAGCAATAAACTGTGACTCCAAAAATAATATTCACTGACACTGATAGCAACAAGCAAAATATCAGGTGCGTTTTAATCATCCGCTTCTGCTTCCGGAATTGTCGGTTTAGTCGTTTTAACCTGTCAGATTAAAACAAGTAAACCTACAATTCCGAAGCAGAAGCGGATGATTAAAACGCACCTATTAAAAATATTGCGCCAAGATGTAGGCAACACGTAATAAGGGATCAAAATGGCGGAGTTTTCTATCTCCTTTTAAAAGGCACTCAGAAAGCTGCGCAGTGTGACCATTCTCCGTATAGTAAAAGAAAATCAAAGTATGTGCATGACAGTACTATCAATATTTTCTTTATAAATAAGATAAGCATTGACTACTGTCAAATCAACGAAATGCCAAAAAAATACGGTGCCACCATTTTTTTGACTTGCGATTAAGCTCATAGCATTTTTTTAGCATATCAGATTTATCAACATAACCCATATGTATGTTGTAATCTCTTACTAATTTGATACAACTGATTTCTTTTGAACTGCCATCTTTTTGTGTTCTATATACGGTATCATCATCAGTTGGGTTATGAAAATTACTTAAAAATACAATTGGCTTGTTGTCCATCCACTGAACAGCAAAAATTGTATTTTGCACACAAGATTCGACACAGTGGACCTACCCTTCATAAATCCGTGTTGGTATTGCGATAATGAACCCGAAAGATGTCTAGATAAGTATGTATGAATAATGATTTCAAATACTTTGGATAAATTACAAAGTATGTTAACATGTCTATAGTTGTCAAGATCATCTTTGGTTCCCTTTTTATAAACTGGTGTAACGCGAAATAATTTCCATAGATCAGGAAACATGACTGTTTTTAATATTAAATTAAAAATAGTACACAGTGGGGTTGAAAGAATGTGTGCGCAATCTTTAATGAAGAAGGAAGGAAATCAGGTCCCATTGTCATTTTTGGCTTTAATCTTTTTATAGCGTCTCCCACTTCTTTATCAGATACATGATTTATAGATAAAATAGGTAAATTAACAGAAGTTGATTGAACAGATGTGATAGTACGTGTTGGTAATGTAAAATTGTTTGAAAAATGCTCTGCAAATGCCTGCACAATATCTAATGGATTATCCAATACATCATTATTAATTTGTACTGAAAATGAAAAGCTTGAGGAGTTCTTAAAACAGTTTACGTATATCCAAAATTTCTGAGGGTTTTCCTAAATATGATTTTCCATTCTTTCAGCATATTGAGAATGTGCAAGCTTAACTTGTCTATTTACATTAGTACGTGCGGATTTGAATGTATTTAAAGCCTCTAAAGAATCTGTAGACTTAAACCGACAATGAGCTTTATCTTTTTGTTTGGTCATTTTGATAATAGACCCATTAAACTATGGAGGCTACATTTTATTACTAGCTTTCTTTTTTGGAACATGTGAAAATAATTCATATAGTTTTTCATTTAGTTTTTTTACACCGTCATTCACATCATTTATATTATTTAAAAACTTCCAATCGATAGATTGGAGGTCAAAATAGAGAGTCGCATAATTGGCTTTTTTAAAATTAAATTCTACTGAAGAAGAATTATTAATTACATTATTTATTTTTTTGTATTGTGATATATTTAATTTGAGTGCTTCTTCTACAATAGTTTCCTCCGATCTTACAACTTCACATTGGTCGTTATAAAAAATGAGGTCTAGCATGCCACCAAATTTATTTTTAACCTGATTTAATTGTGGTAACTAGAAGAAATTTGAAAAATTCTTAACAGCACTCAGTCTGGTAGAAAAACTTGGATCAATAATCTGAGCTGTATATTCAGGAACATTGAAATCACCTATTATCATTAACTTCTGATTATATAGAATAGTAACCATCGAAATATATTCAAATACCATTTCATAGTCCCTTGTAGACGTGGCTGGTGGTATGTACCAAAATTAAAATATTAATATTTACATTACGAGGTTTAATTTTTATCAGTAGAACATCAATATTGATGATAACCTCAGTAAGTGAAGGTATATCTAATATGTTTGAGCAGTTTCTTACCGCAGCTAATACTCCACCACCTCTCGAAGTACCGGTTATATCATATTTACGGTCAGCTCTATAAACATCAAGATCAAACAATTCCCCATCCATAATAGTACTATGCACCATGGTTCGTTGAGAAAATAACCAGAGAATTGAGTAATGGTTGAAACGTTGTCCATGAGCTTGGTCGTTTTTGTTCTAAGTCCGCGAGCGTTTAAAAAGAAATGTAAGAAATATGTGCATCAGGAGGAGCAATAAAGTTTTTCTTTTGAGTAACTGAAGAGGTCAGTATTTGCTATTGGGAAGGTATAATATTGTTTTTAAACTTTGTAAGCGCTTTTGTATAATAATGATAATCTTTATCTCATGCTGCATGATCTGTTGGAGATATTATTTTTCCCAATCTCGTAGAGTGCTGGGTAATAAGACACGTAGATTATTATTATATTAAGTTTCTATTAGCAGAATTTTTAATTATAAAACATAACGAACAACTTAACAGTCAAATCAACAACTAACTTGCTTGACATTATTACAAGTGACATAAGTGACACATGTCACAAGAACATAGACTAAAGAACGATAGATATCAAAATCAGTATTAATTGTGACAACCTTATTATTGATTATTTCTAACATGATCAACTGTATATTTAAGTTATGATTAGTTTTAAGGTTAAAGCAATTGCAGCATTGGATATTTTTAGAACGACAGTGAGAGAGCACTTTGGATAGGTAGGCTCATTTTTATTGCATTGAGTTGCTAAGTGATGTAGTCCTCAACAATTAAAACATCTACGAGGTTCAATAGCACAGTATACCAGACAGTCAAAATCAAATCCAACAGTCAGTTTGCCTAATTTCATAGCCCTTTGATACGTATTAGAATCAACCTGCAAGACAGCTTGAAATAATTTAGCATTATTCTTATGAGGTTTAATATTAATTTCACAAGAAGAATTATCACTGAAACATGATTTATTTTGAGTCTTTAAGTAGTCCAATAAGGTCGCATCGTCAAATTTTAATTCTTGGATGAAGAGAAGATATTGTTTTGACATTATATTCATCACCGAGATTATTATTAATCATTTCTCGCAATTTGGAAGAGTTTTCTTCTTTATTAAAAATTTCGGATTTAGTTGTGGAAACTAATTGAGTAATATTGGTTTTTGGCTGCAGAATAAACTTAGATTGAGAAGCAACATTGGCATAAGAAGGTTCAGCTATATTTTAAGAATTTGTAGAAATTGCGTCTTTGATCTTTCCGATTCTAATTTTTGGAATTGGTCAAAGATAGCTTTGGTAACCTGTTCGGTAATAAGTTTAGAAAAGTTCGAATCGATATTAGCGGTTTATGAGTATCACTAGATCTCTGGTTTTACTATTCCTCTACTTTATAAAACTCTTACCTGTAGTCCGCTTAGATATGTCAAATTTATAATATTAAAAGCATTTATATAAACTGGTTTTTGACCGATACAGCTAATCATGGTAATGATTGGCTTATTAAACTTTGAGTTCTTATACCATTGACTGTCAAATGCCACTTGTTCCGTTTTCTCAGCCTAAAAATAAAAATTTATAGGAAAACAAAAATTCTTGCTTTTTACTTCAAGATGAAAAGTTACCTCTGCTGTAAGAAGTTGACCAGGAATTATATAGAGAACGACAAATTGAATAGTCAGGCTTATTATGTAATCAACACTGTTGAAAAATTGATGGCCTGGTTTACTAAAAAAAAAAAACGTTATAGATAATAGATGGGCCAACGAAAACGAAACGGTTCGAATTTAGAACCCTTTAGACTTATTTCCAAACCCCTATCTTTAACCCCTTAAATAGGGTTCTGTACACCCATTAAATATTAAATATTGTCGTTTTTGTTGCCCCCCCCCCCTTCTTATATACAGATAATATAGTAAATTATAATGGACTTTTTAGATGTACTCCAACAAAAATTTAAATGTATCCTGGAAATAGTGCTAGCACGACCATATCATTTTGCATGTGAGTTTAAAACCATATAGTTTAGTCAACTCTTCCAAAATAAATCAATTTATAAGTTCGTAACATAAGAACTGCACTTTTGTCAATAATAAATCATTTTTCACGTTTTTTACTAGTCCAATACTGCCCTCCTAAGTCAACAAGCATCGATCGGTTGTATTCAATACTTCAAGGATACTTTAAAACCGTAGAACAAAACTGCAATTAAAATAAATTCAGCATAAAAGGGCCTACTCTGAAAGAGATCAATAAAAAAAAAACTAGTCAATAATTACTTACCCACTTACAATAGCAAACAATTCCACACAAGTTGATAGTATAATAACTCCAATATATGTCAGCAGTCCAAGAGATATAGTAGTATTAATTTTCTTAACAAAACTAGAACAATATCAGTAAACAAATGAAACAATAATATTCAATCAACAGAAAACCCATATGCAAAACTCGTTATATGCCAAAAAAATTTCTTATTTTTATTTAGTAATGGAAGAAGGGTGACAAATATGGAATAGGTCATTAATATGGAATAAATAGCCAGCGCCCTCTATTATTTCATATCCCTTAAATAAGCCCAAAAAGAAAGTGTTATGAAAAAGAGGCTAGGGTATAGGCAAAAAACAAAATTTTAGGTATTTACAAGCAGCCAGAAGATGCAATGTTCCCAGAACAATCGTCTTCAAACATTACCAAAAGGATGAACATCTAGCTACCTCTACTGACACGAAACTAAATCGACCAACAATTCTAACCAAAGAACTAGAAAATGAACCTATAAAATATTTACTTCATATGGAAAGTAAATATTTTGGCCTAACAAGGAATATGGCTTATCGACTTACTGTCAAAAATAATTTCCCGAATCCTTTTGACAATGAAACAGATGAAAAAGAATGGCTTAGGCTATTTATGAGGCGTCACTTGACTAAACTGTCGTTCAAAAAACCAACAGGGACATCTTTTGCTAGAGCAAAGGGCTTTTCAAAAGAAAATGTTCAGTCATTTTTTTAAAATTCTAACAAATGAATCCAAAAAACATAACTATCCAGCAGATTGCGTTTATAAAAATTGACGAGAGCGGTCTGTCGATAGTGCCTTCAAAGATACCACAAGAAATAATTTAAGTCAGCCCTTCCTGGAACAAAGTTCGAATGTCATCCATCTGGGTAGATACAAAATAATATTTTTACAAAATGGTTTGAGAATTTTATAGCTACAGTAAACCATACACCTGAATCGCACACTCGAAATATTTATATCATCAATGTCACAATTGTGTGTTTACCGCCACATTCTAAACAGAAGCTTCTGGAGATAACAATGTAGATACGACAATATGCACGACCAGTAGCTGCATTTGACGTAATGGACATTTTCGGCAAAGCTTATTTAAGAGTTCAGTGCGGTGAAATTGTTGTTAATAGTTTTCAAGCTACTAGAATTTTTTCTGTTAATCCAAATATCTTCCGAGAGTCTCTGACTTTTTTGCCTCCAAAATTATCGAGCAAGATGTGGTTGCCCCTCTTCCAGAACCTGAAGCTCCCGAAAACTCGACGTCACCAGTAAAATTGGTAACTCCTGCGATGGTTTCGCCAACTAAGGAAGAAAAGCAGGAAAAGCTGACGCAATAACTGTATCTTCCTAAAAAACAGAACTTGAATCACCCATAGTGTCAACTACATCTAAACTTCAAATAGAAAGAAAAATTGGCCAAAACAAAACAAATTTGACTGATCCAGCTACTCCCAGCACCTCAACCATAAACCTACAGAGTCAAGTTTCAGTTCCTTCTACATCTAAACTTCAAATAAATAGGAAATATGGCCAGGATAAAACAAGTCTGACTGATTTAGCTACTCTCAGCATATCAACTACTATTTTACAGAGTAATGCTAAACGTAAGACAAACAAAGCAGGATATATTGTAACCGAGTCAAGCAACTTTCCTGAAGAATGGCGAATATTGATTTAGATGATTCATTATTTACTAGGGAAGATGTAGAACAAAACTTAGAGGTTGCAGAAAATCCTGAGTGCCTGTTCGGTGGTGGAAAATCTTAAGACAGCAAAAAATCTAAAAAACTGGATAAGGTATAAATCATGTAACGCATGGTGTCTATATCTGGTATCTATATTTGCGATTTTTGCAAATTTTACAAAAGGGAAATATTATTATTTTAGTTCTGTTATTATAACTTTTAAGACGTTCTGATTTTTGAAAAAACAAGTTATACCTGTTTAAATATATATATATAGTTATTAATCGTTTGTACCTTTTTAGTGTTGGTGAAATAAAAGTATTCCATGTTTGTCGCCCTTCCTCTACATTTTTCGGTAGTATCCAAAATTCAGCTTCCAAATATCGGCTACTCAACGCAATACTTACTTTAGCAAAAAATTGTGATGAGCAATACATTTGTTCAATTTATTTTGTACCAATAAACGATTTTCGTCGTTTAAAAGTGTATTAGCTAAAACGATTTCAATTTGTTTGTTTAACATTTTCCATTGAATGGCTGTCAAAGCTATTATTGTACCGAAAAAGACATCAAAACCAAGACAACTCATATAGATCACTACAACCAACCATTCTCCAAGTGCAACTGTTGCATAATAATAATCTTGGTTTCTTGGTATATAACATTTAAATGCTGCTCCCTAAAATAAAACGCAACGTTAATATTAGGTACCTTGAGCTGCTATCGATTGCTTTTGACTAATCGTACAACCCTTTAGTTTTTTCAAAGTAGGTACTTTGTTGAGAAGTGTAGCCTTTTTAAAAATAGACAATGTGCAACTTTAACATGTTGTATATCAAAAACTAGTCATAAGATAGAGTTGGCTCCGTGGAAGTCTTTGTTTAAAAATTTCAAAATTAAATTTCAACCCAGTACCATTTTTCTATAAGGAAAGTGCGAATACCTTGCCAGTATAGCCACTATAGCGTGTGTATAGTGTGTTTTTTAGTTTTTATATAAAAAATATTTATAATAATTTAATTACAAACCCCGTGTTCAATCAGCGGTTTTAATACAAGCATAAAGACTGTCGGTACGGGAGATAATAAATAATATATTGCGACCAGTTTCATATACCGCAAGTATCCTACAATTTTCTTTTTCTCTTCTTCATCATCGTGTTCATTGACGTCCCAAAATTGTTTGCCATCGTTCAATAAATCGATTACTCTATCGTGCTGTATGTAAAACCATCCAAATTTACCTATAACCTTAAATAGAAAAAATAATTAAAATTAAAGGCTTTAGACCGGATTTTTTTTTTTTTTTTTGTTAGCGAGTATTGTTACTAGTTATTACTGACTAACCTACAATTTTGATCTAAAAATCTTATAACTAATTACTTATCTAAGAAGTCTTAATTGTTTCTATAGGAAAGCATCACAAGTGACGATTTATTACACTGTTTTACACTAGCACTAACATTAACGTTCACTGCACTAACTCAAATGGTTTCTTCCTTTTGAGCCTTCTGTTAATGCTGCGTTTGAGAATCCACATCGGATGCATTTTTTACATCTCGAGCGTTTTTTTATCCACATCGGACACATCTGTCCCATTACATTTACGTATACTGCATCACGTGATCAAAGATTTTTTACATCTTAGATGCATCCGATGTGGATTCTCAAACGCAGCATTAGTGTAGAGTTGTCCAGTAATTGCAGCGCTTCTTCGTTAACGTGGGAGTGGAGTCGCCCCTAATGTTTCGCAGCAAACCTCTTTATTTCCTCTTCGATTGTTGGCATCTTCAGGTCTCTATGAAGATAATCGTTTTGGTAGAACCAAGGTGCATCAACAATGCATCTTAGGACTTTATTTTGGAAAACTTGTATCATATTGATATTACTCTTGCTGACACATCCCCATAGCTGTATTCCATAAATCCAGATTGGTTTTAGGATTTGTTTATAAATCAGCAGTTTATTGTGCACTGACAGTTTGGATTTTCTTCCTAGGAGCCAATACATTTTTTTCAATTTAAGTTCAAGTTCTTTACGCTTTTTTTTTATGTGCTCTTTCCATTTAAGTCTTATATCTAGGTTCATCCTTAGGTATTTGGCCGAATCGTGATGCGGAATAACGTCATTGTTTATTCTTATTTGTTTTTGTTCATATGGTCGAAAAGTAAAATCAACATGCACTGATTTAGTTTGATTTATTTTTATTTTCCACTTTTTTGTCCATCGATTGATTCTGTTGCAGCTTTCCTGAAGTTTTTCTGAAGTCTCTGTATTAGTTCCGCCAACTGCCAATATTGCAGTGTCATCCGCAAATGTTGCTATTTTAACAGATTGTTGTTGAGGGATATTGCTGGTGTATAATAAGTAAAAAACCGGTCCTAGCACACTGCCTTGTGGGACACCTGCTTTAATTTCTTTCATTTTGGAATATGCCTCGTCTTACTTTACTCTAAACATTCTTCCCGTTAGATATCAAAAATCAAAATCATTTATTCACCATAAAAGTACATTCATTCACATAATAAATGCCACTTATCAGGCTAGTCAATTAAAAACATTATAGTTAATTAAAATTAAAATTTAAAAGCATTACATAGTAATTATTATACTTATACATATAACTTAATTTTACTTACACCGACAGTTACTAATTTAAAAGAACGAACATAAAATTTAAAAATTAGAAAGACCAGGATAAGGATTATGATAGCTCTTCATTGTGTGGTTCAAAAATTGAGAAATTCTTCAATATTATAAAATGTGTTATTGTGAAGGAAGTTAATAATTTTATTCTTTATGCCGTTCCTTGGGCCGACTGAATCAATATGTATTTTAATTTTATTGTAACACTTAACCCCTATATAATTGGGAGAATTCTGGCTCACTCTCAGTCTTGAGAAGGGTACATGGATCTCTTCATTATGGCGGGTGTTGTATGTGTGAATTTCATTGTTTAATATAAATTGGTTCTTATTATCATAGATATGCAGTATTAATTGTAAGATATATAAAGAATGCACTGTTAGAATCTCATATTTTTTAAATAGATTTCGGCAACTTGCTAATGGATGAGCTCTATCCATACATCTAACAATTTTTTTCTGTGTGATGAACGCTTTATCTATGTGTGAGGAAGAACCCCATATCAACAAGCCATACTGCAACTGAGATTGCACTAGTCCAAAATATAATATTCGCAATATATTTGAGGAGACTTTATCCCTAAGATTTCTCAAAATGAAGCAAGTACTACTCAGCTTTGAGCATAGCTTATCGATATGAAGTTCCCATGTTAGTTTAGGATCGAGAGTTACACCTAAGAATTTCATTGATAGAGTACTTTCTATTGATTTTCCAGAGAGTTTAATTAATAAGTCTTCATCAGGAGCAATATTTTTAGGTAAAAATCTCATATATAAGGTTTTCTCACACTTTAATTAGAGACCGTTTTCCTTACAGTATTTTTCAAATTCCAATGTGACGTTACTTCCATTTTCTACTAGGTTATTGACACTTTTCTCAGACAGTATCACATTGGCATCATCCGCATAAAAAACAGCTTTATCTGATGTTTCACAGATACTTGAAATGTCGTTTATAAAAACTATTGGGCCAAGTAATGTGCCTTGTGGGATGCCTACTTCATTTCTTTTGCATTCGGAGGTAGCCCCATCGATAGCTGTTGTTTGATACCGATCCGCCAAATATGAGACTATCCAGTCATGTGGTTTTCCTCTTACACCTATACCTTCAAGTTTTTTTAATAGTAAGTCATGGTCTATTGAATCAAATGCACGAGTAAGGTCATAAAAAATACCTATAATATGTTGTTTCCTGTTAAGTTCTTCATATGATTGTAGAAAGTCGACATATTGTCTAGGGAGCATTTTTTCAAGTTTCTGTATTAGGCCAGCGTACCAAACCTTGTCAAATGCTTGGGTGCTTAAGTTACATCAAGAAATATAGCTGAGCATATATATTTTTCTTCGTAAGCTTTTTCGATGATATCGATTATCCTGTGTACTTGATCTATTGTCGAGTGTTTGTTTCTAGAACCAAATTGGTGCGAAGGGATCAGATTTTTATTTTCAATTATTGGTTTTAGTCATTTTAGCAGTAGTTTTTCAAATAACTTACATATTATCGGTAACAATGGCTTAGGAATTAGGATAACTTCAGCCATTTTCCACGCATCAGGTATATATTTAAGGCGAAATGCTGCATTAATGAGGTATGTCAATTTAACAACAGCTTTCCGTTGTAGTTTCTTTGATATTTCTCTAATAACAAGGTCATATCCTGGGGCTTTCGGTGAGTTGATGTTTGTCTGAATTTCTTTCATAACTTCATTGGGAGTAACTAGCTTAATTTCAAGTTGTTCCATATTATGGATGATCTCATTAGGAGTGTCTTGATTTTCATCTAATTGGAACGTCTTTCGTAGGTGGTTAGCGAAAATATCAGCTTTTTGTTGATTGTCTCTTGTCCATTTGTTATCTGCTATTCTGATTGGAGGACAGTGTTTACACGAATTTTTCATCTTTATAGTTTCCTTCCAGAGTGAATAATCAGTTTCTTTATCATCTGTTAGCTTTACTAGGTATCTGTTGAAAGATTCTTTTTTGTGATTTAGGATTTCTCTTCTCAGTCTTTAGGTAGCCCTATTTAATATATTTTTATCTTCTGGTGATCTTGTCATCTGCCATTTCTTTCTTAGTTTTCTTTTTTCTACTACCAGTTCTCTTATCTCGACAGGATAGTTTTTTCCAGCAGTTAATCTTCTTACTTTTGGTGTGTTCCTCCTTGCAGCTTGCTGGATTTCAATTATAAAACTTTCCAGTTCTTCATCTAGCTATATTTTTGTTTTTAGTGTTATGGTCAGTTGAATAGTATTTGTTAAGTCCTCTTGAAAACCTTCCCAATTAGTTTTCCGATTTGCTAGAGTCGGTTTGGCTTCTTTTTGAATAACATTATCACTTAGAGTAAGGATTACTGCAGAATGGTCTGAATCCATATCAAAGTTTTCTTCTACTTGTGTATAGTTTGGTGAAATTTTCCTCAGAATAAAGAAATCCAAAAGGTCTGGAATCTTGTTTGGGTCGGTGGGCCAATAGGTGGGTTTTTCAGAAGATTGGTATGTACAACCAAGTTCTGATGCAGCTCGGTGCAATTCTTTTCCTTTGACTGTGGTTAATCTTAAACCCCAGTTGGTGTTTTTGGAGTTGTAATCTCCACCGATTATAAATTTGTTACCTAGTTTTTTGAGTACATTGAGATAATTTTCTTTTTTCTGGTTGTATCTTGGTGGGTAATAGATTGCAGCTATTGTAATTTTGCCCCCTTAATGTTAATGGTGCTAATGGTTACCTGAGTTTCTGGTTCATGGATGCCTGGTTCCTCATAGTGGAAAATGTTATTTTTAATAATTAACGCACTTCCTCCTCTTGCTGCATTTGATGGATGGATAGTGTGATAGAAGTTATATCCTCTGAATTTAATGTATGACTCTGTTGTAAGGTAGGTTTCAGAAATCAGACATATATCTATTTTTTGTACGTCCAAGAAAACTTGGATATCAGTTTGTTTTTGGAGAATGCCATTGGCATCCCAAGTGGCTATTCTAATATCTCTTTTGTCCATTAGTGGTTTTGTTATATGTTTGGGGTTTGTTTAATTCTTCTATCTTCTGGAGCCTGTCAGAGAGTGAATCTATTCTAGTTATTAAGGATAATAATAATTCATGAGTAGTACTTTCTGCTAAGTTGGTTGACTGTGCATTGTGCTGTGCACTTTGTGGCGTGGGATTCATGGCTGGTTGTGACCTTTGAATGGGTTATTGCTGTGAGTTTGTTACCTGAGAATATGTTATTTCATTTTTGATAGTAGGAAGAACGTTTCGTAACATGTGACTTAATCACCAGGTCCATTGCCAGCAGATTAAAGGAAGTTTTTCACCAGATATCAATCTCCGAGTGATCGGTAGTAATATATTTGACAGTCCAGTTGTCATAAAAATGACCAAAAATGCACTTTAAATGCATTTTGTGATGTTAACAAATCACATGGTATTGTTGGTCCTGTATATGAAAAAGATAAAACCCTGAAAAATTTGCAAGCTACTTACATGTAGACAAAACATTACAGTTTGCATGCCTTCTGTAAAATCCAATAATTCCAAATTTTCTTCGTAGATAAACAGCCCGATAGCCAAACATGTAGTATTGATAATTGAAGCAATGGCAACCAGAAATAAAACTCTTTGAATAAAAGTTTTACGGTAACGAGGGTCAATCCCAGTTATATACACCATCCTAAGGCTATGCATAATGTTCCAGTGTTCCATCTTTAAAGAATATTGGCAAATATTTAAATATATCAAGAGAATACGTTTGTTTAGAAGGAAGTTTGGTTTAAATAACTTACAAAATTTATTTTTGATTTCATTCAATTTTTATTGTAAAAAAAATCAGCGATTCGTGACATTAATATATTCATAAGCATTAAAATTTGATTCCTAACGATGAATAACTCTTATGAGATTGTCACCACCTATTCCCTACCTAACTGATTAAATAAACAAACAAAAAATAATGAACTAATTTTTAACTCTAGGCTTATTCACATTACCAAAATAGACCTTCTTACTAGTCCTAAGATATTTTATTTATTTCTTTAGTTAATAACTAATTTCTCACCTGAATACTGTTAGAGATACACAACAATTCCACAATTCCAAGACAATGCAAATTCGAAACCTACAGTAGTTAATATAAATTTTAAATGTATATACTCTTTGTAAATTTTTACCTTTTCCATCAATGTCCGAGTGGTTTGTAATTAGAAATGTCCATATTATTAATAATTGAACGTATCTAAAGTGATTGGCTAATTTGAAGACGTTCGACATATCGGATAAAACACGTGGATGTAAATTTATTTATATTGTCCTACTTTTATTTATTGGTTTCTGATTCATTCCAGAGTAGCTCTATATTTTCCTAAATTAGATTTTTTCAGAACTGTTAGGTATGTAGCGGTCTCCTAGGTAGAAACGGGACGCTCCGGTATCCACCAGGTCGGAAAACCGTTTTCCCAGTATCTCCAGCTCTTAATGTGGACGTGAGTCACATTCAGTGAACGAGACGGTGTCTTTGGAAGCTAATAACGGCTGAAGCTGCCTGGGCTCCCTTTCCCAACAGCTTCGGGGTCGTTTTCCTGTGGGAAGACGATCTGTTGAGAACCAACGTTGCTAGCTTCTTGAGCCTGGTAACGGGGTACAGGGTGCCTGGTTTCGGAGTGGCTTGGTACAGTTTGTAGCTCTTTTTGCAACAGCTCGCATTCCTTCACGGATTGCCAAAAGGAGAACAAGTTAGTGAAATGCGTCTTCCGGATTTGCTGCCTGAAATCGGGCAATAGATTGCGGTAAAGCCTCTCCAATTGCTGCTCATGTATCTTCATGAGGGTCTGCAAGTCGGTAATGTATGAGGTGACAGATTCATTCATCTCCTAAGTAGGCTAATTATCTTGGTTGTTTCTAAGCCATAACGCTGGTTCCTCGGTTAGCAATTCGGCTATGCACAGCAGTAGTTTTGGAAAAGTCTGTATTCCAGGTGAATAGGAGGTCCTCTACTATCTTATATACTTGTTATTATTTCCAACTTTTTACAAAGCTCTTAACAAGTTGAAGATTTTGTACTTTCAACAATCAAATTCTGAATTCAGAAATACAAAAAGACATTTTTATTTATTATTTATTTGTGATATTATTACATAATAAATTAAAAATATTAAGTACCTACATTAAATGTGCTTGTTTGTATATTTTCAATCTAAATCTCATATATATTTTTTTTGGTTGCATAAAATTTGAAAATATGATGTGTTTTGGATCCAGTCCTCAATTCCTATCTTTATTCATTGTTCTTAAAAACATATAATATGAAATCATTGTTTTGTATGCCTAAAAATGTATGAATATAAAGAAAAATGTATTGTTTTAAGAAAATAAAAAGATTTCCATAGTCTAAATAGATACAATTCTGCAAAAGAGTATAAACCATGAATTATTCTTCACTGTTGTCATACATGATTATTACACCCTGTAGTATGCATTACTCATACTGATCAGTACAAAAAACTTCCAATATAAAATAATTTCTATACAGGGTGAGGCACCGAAAACGAAACAGACACTTTTTTGGAGAAAATGCAAATTCCTTATAAAATTACCTTTTCAATGATGTGTCACACTTAGTACTTTCCCTATTTTAATTTCATTATTAATAGTGAAAGAAGGGTGGGGAGGGATGTAGGATAGTTGAAAATATGATCGAAAGATGTCCCCTTTGAAATAAAAATCGACCTCTTTTTGCATGTTCTCCAAAAAAAATGTGTCTTCAGATATGCGATCTGTTTCGTTTTCGCTGCCTCACCCTGTATAACCAACTGCATAGGTACTCTTTCGCGAAATATTCAACTTCATATTATTTTTCAACGCTCTTACCTGTAGTCCACTAGCGAAACTCAAATTTATTATATTAAAGGCATGAACATAAACTTGTCTCTGGCCTATACAGCTGATCATATTAATTATCGGTTTATTGAACTTTAAGTTCCTATACCATTGGCTTTCAAAAGCCACTTTCTCCATTTTATCTGCCTAAAAAGATAATTTTTTGTGTTAAAGTGAACGTTCAATCTAAAATTACCCACACAGTCGTTAAAAAACTTCTTGCTCTTGACTCATTCATAGAAATAGTATAGAAAGCCGATTCCATATATCAAAAATGAAACCATAAGGAGAAAATAGTGTGTCGGAGCTCATGCGTATAACGGTGCTGGCGCGAACAGGACCGGTGCAAGTTTTTTATTGATCGAACAAATAGTTCGCACGATATTTCAATCATACATTTTTAGAGATGATTCTATACAAAAAACGATTAAAAATTTTTTCAAGTTAAGGTAAATATGGTTCTGACAGTCCTTATTAAGAAAGATATGGCATAAAATATGAATTAGTTAATTTTCGGCAATCATTAGTACAGTAGTCATGAGATTTTGCTTGTGATTTTAAAAATACTTTCCAGAAAAACCACGTGCTCCGGTTTTGACTACGTTTATTATTAAACAGCGAAATTATATACAAAAACTTTAATCCACAATCTAAATTAGGTACTATCACAAGAAAATCACTGTTACAATAATTAATTACTTAACCAAAAACTAAAATACTTTTTAGGTACCTACGTAACCAGAAAGGAGCTGGACCATTTATCCTAATATTGATTTTCTCTCTCCCTACGGTAAAACTTAAAACAATAACAAATTGCCTATCTACTAGGGTCGGTAACTAAACGTATATACATAATGGGCGGATTTTGTTTATACTTAACATTACACTCGCGCATTTAAATATAACTATGCATATAAATATTTACAAACAAAGATACTTTTCCAAACAGGCAATCATTAGTACTGTAGTCACGAGATTTTGCTTGTGATTTGACATCTTATTTGATAATATCATTTGCTACAACTAAATTTAATCTGGGGAGTGCAAAATAGGGCCCAGGAATATTATGTTCGATATTTTTTTACATTTTATCAGCCGAGACTATGAGTCGTTAGACAGAAAACCTTTCATGTTACCATTTTCAATATAAATTAAAAAATTAAAAAATACTACTACATTTACTTGGTACATATTTTATTTTAATTTTGAACCTTTTTAAAAGGGTCTTTCGGTTCCATAATAAAAATTAGTTGCTGCTTACTAGAAACATTCTATATAGCCTAAACCAATTTATAGTTTGTTTTCGATCAATTTAATATAAAGATTTAAAGTTTTTAGTCGATGATAACATTCCACACCAGCACATTGCAAACCTATTTTATAAATAATAGGAATAAACTTGTAAATCATTAATTTGGTAGTTATCTCACTCATGATTTTTTTGTTTATATGAATATTTCGATTTCTAAATATATTTTGGCCTTACAATACGAAGCGTTTTGTATCTACCACTTTTTTAATGAACGATGAATGTTGACAGACGTGTACCTCTTTCGGAACAAGAGGCGTTTTAACGAAGGAAATGATTTTCGAACTATCTAGTTAGTTTTCGGAAAAATAGAAAACGTTTGAAGAAAGTTGTCAATAACAGTTTGTCGTTCATGTGTTTCATTTTGATCAGCTTTCATACTAAATTGCGTAGAATATTTTTCCGATTCAAAATCGAGATTCTCGATATTTCCACAGTTTATTTATAATACCTTCTAAACTGGATTTATCTCTCATTTTATATACTTTATAATATATGTTCATGCCCTACTTTTCACTTTATTAATAATTTTTTTTTAACATACTTCAAAATGGTAGGATATTCTCAATTCGTTGAAATATTTTTTTATGTATGTTGAGCGATAATTCTTTACCACGTTGCCCGATTTCTAGGATTCTTTTTGTTAGAAAAGGAAACAGTTTTATATACATTAAGTCAAGATCTGAAGATGGGATCCATAAGAAAATCATTAACATCTTTATTTTTAAAGTAGGTTTTTTTTTAAATTTCTTTAAACCTTACTGGTTCGAACGCCGTAAGGAATGAAGAAATGTAAATAATTGTTGTGCCAGCCAAAAAACGAAGAGGAAGTACCGATTAAAATATCGAGTGACAGAAGAGTTCCTAAGATTGTTGAGATCGGGTTTATGTTTTAAAATGCCTTAAAACCGATATCGATAATGTCTCCCCGTCGCTGGGCAGCCTGTATATAAATATACAGATCTCTATTTACATAATTATAATTCTTAGGTAGGTTTAGATTTGCAGACATAAATCTTGTAATAAATATAACAGCTGCCTAATACATTGATTACATTTTCATTAGCCAATGTAAAAATGTCTTTTATTGTACCTAGGATTTGACTAAACACTACACAAAACTAAAAATAAAATGCCACTTTCATCGTGTAATTAATGCCGCGTTTGAGAATCCACATCGGATGCATTTTTTACATCTCGAGCGTTTTTTATCAACATCGGACACATCTGTCCCATTACATTTACGTATACTGAATCACGTGATCAAAGATTTACTACTTACTACATCTCAGATGCATCCGATGTGAATTCTCAAACGCGGCATAAAAAACTACAAACGGTCCTGTAAGGGCAGCGTCATATAGCCTTGAAACACCGGATTTTAGTGCTATTGCCAGGTCAATATTGAATTTGTAGGTGAATCGCTTATTGAACATTAAAAATACGGTATTAATGACATTAATACGGTATTTGTATATATTTTTGGGAATGTAATTACACATAAATATTATTAGTTGATTATTTAAATGTTTATAAGTTATTTTGTGGCGATATTTCGTAGATATAAACTGTTTAAATCATATAATTTAAAAATTAATTAATTTAAAATTCTTTTCTGTTAGGTATGTTTAATATATTTGGCAACACTACAGGGACAAGTCATGCTTATTGCGCAAGCTTCTAGACACACTATTTTGCGATGTCAGGTGCAGAGACGCGTTTTTATGCACAGTAGGTTTCAATTTCTGCTTAAATGTTATGTTTATATTGGTCTTCTATATTATTTCTATGGACTCATTACGTTTTTAAAGAATACTGAAGTCTGAACATTTATTTCAGTATCTATAGAGTCTTACCTTTCACATACAGGACTTTCCTTGTGGAGGCATTAAGAAATTGTATTAAAAACTTCTCATTGCTCGCTTATGTGGTCGTCATAGGTTTATTTATATATACTTTATTTTTTTTCTTTTTGTAAATTTATTGATGTAAACAAATACATGTGTTATTATTATTAAAAGTTTAAGACAATAATTATATTCTACATAGGTCAATTTAAATTAATTGTATACATAAACCTTATTACAGTTATAAATTTCTTAGTACTGTCATGAAATTCCTAATCGGACCCTGTGCCTAAAGCAAGTGCGACCTTCACATGGCAACCGACTCGTGCTCGAGGCGACGGAATGTTCTGGAAATGCCGCTGAGGCTCGAGAAACGGGTAGAGTAAGTGATGACAAAAAATTTTTTGTCATCACTTACATCTTAATTAAGGTTGTTCATTTTGGTGGTATTATTCAGTTTAGTAAAAATACAAAGTAAAATGGACAAGCTGAAGTCAATTACAAAATAATATTATACACAAACAATAACTACGATACTTTAAAAAATAAAAAATATAAATAACGAAAGGTCAATTTTACAATTTGACATGACAAGTAAAATTTTAAATAACAAGTTATTAGAGGTTAGGAAATAAATGTGGATAATGCTATGTTTACATATCATTAATATTTTTTAAATGTTCAAAAAGTGATTTTTATATTAAATTAGCTCTGTATTATTTAAATTATGAATTTGGTTTGGTTTATTGTCCAAATCCAATAAATAGAAAAGGAAGATGAAAATTGCTCGGTTCCATTTCTAGATACCAAGTTCATTCGAACCCCAGATAACAAAATCATTATCGATTGGTATAGAAAACCTTGCAGTTCAGGTAGATACCTGAACTATCATTCTTACCATAAACAATCTATGAAAGTGAATTTAATAAAACAAATAAAAAACAGAGTTTTGAAAATCTCAGACCGGTCTTTCCATAAAAAGAATCTTGATAACATTTATAAACTTTTTATTGACAATTCATATCCAAAATCACTCCTTAATAAAATTATATACAGTACATCATATACAGTTAATGAATTCATACAAAATAATGAAATCACCCCAATTATTGAAAACCATGATCAAAACAGTGATAATCTTACACCACATACCCAAAGTACTGCTCTACTTAATAATTTAAGGAACTTAGCTCCCAATAACATGAATTTAGTTGTTTCACAAGAAAACAACATACACTTTACCTCTTTACCTTACATCAAGGAGATCACACCTAAACTATCAAGAATTATAAATATTAATAGTAACATTAAGATAGCCAATAAGGCAGTTCTAACAATAGGCTCAATCTATTCTAAACTCAAAGATAAAACCCCCTTAAAATCATTATCAGATGTAGTATACAACATTCCTTGTCTAGAATGTAATAAAGTCTATATTGGTCAAACACAAAGACCTATCTCAGGTAGAATCTCCTCCCACAGAAGTGATTGCAGACTGCATCCGGAACGTTGTGCTTTGGCTGAACATGCTAATAAATATCAACATAATATAAATTATGACGAAATTAAAATATTAGCCATTGAAAATAACTACCATGAAAGACTTTTCTTGGAGATGGCTTTCATTTCACAAGAACCAAATTCTATGAACAAAAAAACAGATATTAACAATTTAAGTGTAATTTATTCTTATTTATTGGATTTGGACAATAAACCAAACCAAATTCATAATTTAAATAATACAGAGCTAATTTAATATAAAAATCACTTTTTGAACATTTAAAAAATATTAATGATATGTAAACATAGCATTATCCACATTTATTTCCTAACCTCTAATAACTTGTTATTTAAAATTTTACTTGTCATGTCAAATTGTCAAATTGACCTTTCGTTATTTATATTTTTTATTTTTTAAAGTATCGTAGTTATTGTTTGTGTATAATATTATTTTGTAATTGACTTCAGCTTGTCCATTTTACTTTGTATTTTTACTAAACTGAATAATACCACCAAAATGAACAACCTTAATTAAGATGTAAGTGATGACAAAAAATTTTTTTACCTTACTTTATCATAATATGTGGTATTATTTTATTTTAGTCTCCCTGATGATGGAAATAAACATTTCCGAAAGCTTGGAATAAACTTAAAAAAGTATTCTTTCATTTGCTGCATTACCCACAAATTACTAGTTTAATTATTAACTAGTCAGCAACGACTATCAACTCTCTTATATATATATATATATATATATATATATATATATATATATATATATATATATATATATGTATATATATATATATATATATATATATATATATAATTTATTTCAATAAACAAAGAAGATTATAATGTAATGGTAAATGATACCAATATGAGAGGTCACTTACCTCTGCCGTAAGAAGTTGTCCAGGAACTATATAGAAAGCCACAAATTCATTAGTCAGGCTTATAATGTAGAATAGACTTTTAAAAAATTCATTGGTTGGTTGACTAAAAGAAAAAAGCGTTATAGATATATGACTTCTGTTCTTATTTTATCAACTCTAGTTAATCCATCGAATTCCATTTAATACTAAACTACACGAGATCAAATCACTTGCCGAAGAACTTCTGATCTGCTATCATGCTTAATAGCAAACCTTTTCATCTATTCTTTCACTGAGTTACAAGATCTTGATGAAGATATGCATTGCTCACATACTAAAAAGCGTTCACTATATTGCACAATATTTTATTCTTAAATGTTTACGTTACTGCTGTAAAGCCACATCGTTTCTAATATCTGATTGTAGATCAATATTTTAATATACACGGGTCAGTTTTATATGTTAGTCCTTATTCAGTTCTTTCCTCTTTAATAAATACTTTACATCCAAGGTTATGCCTAAGTACTTTGCAATCAGCTCATGAAATAGTCTTTACATTGATATTTAAAGAGAGAGAGAGAGGGTCTGCATTTTTTTTAACAGTTTAGCTTAATCCTCCATTTATTGGTCATCTAACTAGAGAACTGCTAAGAATATCAAGTTTTTTCATTGATTTTTTTTGGTCCCACGAGGACAGCAGCATCATCAGCGAATATTCGGCTGTCGATATGTGAGGATGTATGTTTATTAACAGCAAGAGGAGGAAGTGCGTTAATTATTAAAAATAACATTTCCCACTATGAGGAACCCGGCATCCAAGAACCAAAAAATCAGGTAACCATTAGCACCATTAACATTAAGGGGGACAAAATTACAATAGCTACAATCTATTGCCCACCAAGATACAACCAGAAAGAAGAAAATTATCTCAATGTACTCAAAACACTAGGTAACAAATTTATAATCGGTGGAGATTACAACTCCAAAAACACCAACTGGGGTTCAAGATTAACCACTGTCAAAGGAAAAGAATTGCACCGAGCTGCATCAAAACTTGCTTGTACATACCAATCTTCTGAAAAACCCACCTATTGGCCCACCGATCCAAATAAGATTCCAGACCTTTTGGATTTCTTTATTCTGAGGAAAATTGCACCAAACTATATACAAGTAGAAGAAAACTTTGATATGGATTCATTCTGCAGTAATCCTTACTCTAAGTGATAATATTATTCAAAAAGAAGCCAAACCGACCCTAGCAAATCGGAAAACTAATTGGGAAGGTTTTCAAGAGGACTTAACAAATACTATTCAACTGACCATAACACTTAAAACAAAAAAAAACAACTAGATCGAAACGATTATCTTCATAGAAACCTGAAGATGCCAACAATCGGAAAAGAAATAAAGAGGTTTGCTGCAAAACATGATGGTCGACTCCACTCCCACTTCAACGAAAAAGCTCTGCAATTACTGGACAACTCTACACTCAACAGAAGACTCAAAAGGAAAAAGCCATTTGAGCTAGTGCAGTGAACGTTAATGACTTAATTCTGACAAACTTGTCTGAGATATAATATACATTGCTTCTGGGACATTTTATTTAGTTTGTGAACTAAACCTTCATGCCATTACAAAAGGTTTAGGCAACGTCTAAAAATGTTACATAGTAGACTTATTTTTCTGCAAGAGCGTTTCTTATGACATCAGTAATTCTGAAAATTTGGTAAATAGTAGAATATTTTTATCGAAACCTGATTTGGAAATTAGGGATACCTTTTCTGATTTTTCTGGTTCTGAAAACTTCCACCATACATGTTTTAGTCTGTAAACTGCACTAACCATATATATCAACATGTTAATATCTTTTTTAGGCAACTTCTTCTAGAGTTCACCAAACATTTTTTGAAAACCTAGTGCTTTTTTCGGATTAAGGTTAGTTCTATTCACTTCAGCTTTTGGTGTTATAATACTTTTTCTGGGATATTTGTGCATATTGTTCGTGCTATATTTGATAAGAAATAATAGCTACTCAAAAATTACTTACCCACTTACTATAGCAAAAAACTCAACACAGTTTGATAGTACAACAACTCCAATATAAAGTAGCAGTCCAAGAGATATAGTAGTATTAATATTCTTAACAAAACTAAAAGAATATCAATAAACAAATCAAAAAACATTAGTTTAGATGGAATAGATATAAAATACCTACTCTAGCAAAAAATTGTGATGTTCAATACACTTCTTCAATTTGTTTTGTACTAATCGTTGATCATCTTCGTTTAAAGGTGTACTGGCTAACACCCTCCGAATTTCGTTGTTCAACATTTTAAACTGAATGGCCGTTAAAACTGTTATTGATCCGAAAAAGCCATCAAACGGAACACAACTGCAATATATAGCCACCATCGTGAATTGCTCAGCTACAAGTATTGGATAATAATAATACTTGTTATCGGGTGTGTAGCTTTTAAATGGTAGTTCCTAGAATGAAAAAATAGTAGGTAGTATTAATAAGATGGATGTGGAACCTTGGTTCAAATGAACAATATTTAGATATTACACACCCCATGTTGAAGCAACGGTCTCAATATAATCATTGCAGATGTCGGTACGGCAAATACTATATAATAGGCCATGATAGTTTTCAGATACCACAAGTACTTCAAAATTTGCTTTTTCTCTTTTTCATCTTCCAGTTCATCGACTGTCCAAAATTTCTTGCCAACGTTCAATAAGTCGATTATTCTGTCGTGCTGTTTGTAAAACCACAAAAGTTTAATCAAAACCTTAAAACAGGAAAACTATATTAACTCTATTAGCATAGACGATAAAGTAGTTCTTCTTCATTTTTATCACTTTTCTTATCTTCTCTTTATCTTTCATATGTTTAAATAATAATAATAATAATAATAATAATAATAGTTTATTTTGCATTTACGGTGTACAATAGAATTACATCAATAAAAAAAAATAATTACGCAAATACAAAAAGAGAACGTCCAGACAGTTAAAACTGATACAAAGTGGACGCCCTCGGTTATGGTTTTGTTCGCCAGTCGCCAACCCCGGATAGCCCCAAGAGTTAACAAAAGTATTAAAATATTAAAATCGTTTTAAGTACTTATATCCTCTCTACTTGAAGACTATCCGAAGACGGCGGCAAACGTAGAAACTAAACAAGGGTTTTTATACCTATAAGTTACAATGTATGAATTGTAAGAGATAAAAATAAAAATATATAAAAAATATATATTTCACTCGCTCGACACACACCAGGTCTCAAATTCCAAAATTATATTTTGACATTACATTGTTATTGAACATAGCAAAAGTGTATCTTAACCATTAACCATCAGTTTTTAACTTGACTAGATCAAGATATCAGAACAAACATTGATAGGCTGCTCGAATGTTGCCAGTTTTTAACGATGGGTTAAATCAGGGGTCTCCAAATTTTCCAACCTTAAGGTACATGTTCATTTGAGAGTATTTCTTGCCGGTGAACACAATTTTGCCAGCTACTATGTGAAAGTACTGATAAACTCGCAGACAACGAACAAGGCGAGAGTTGTTTGCAAGTGGACAAAGCGATTGTCTAGCACTGGAGAGCATCTATCACAATTCAAACGATATTCATATTGTGAAAATGCTCTCAGCAAAAATGGCAAGGAAGATAGATTGGTCGAAAGAGGATGTGGTCAAACTAATTAGTATTTATGAGAAGAATCCCATACCGTGGGATACAAAATATGTAGGCTCTTATTTATGATGAAGAGGATATGCAATACGCTTGGGCACCGTCTAGCGTATCGATACTATTGCCATCCTTCGGATTTTTGGAACTACCTGTTGAACAGCATGCAGAACCAAGTTCTTCTTGGTTCATGTACAACATGGTCATTTGTTCCAGATTACTTTCACTGTTTATGCTTACTTGCGTAGTAAATTCCATTGTAACCATTTATTACGAAAAAAAAAAAATACGTCGAGTCGAGGACCATATTCCACAGTAGAGGTGATAGCACCCCTCCCTGTGGACATCCCCTCGCAACCAAGCCTATTATATCCACATCTTCTACACTTATGTTTATTGCTCGCTTTGAGAGCATGTTATGTATCCACCCACTAACCATTTGTGATACATTCCTCTTGGTTAGTGAGTGTATTATCTTTGGGAAGGTGGTTTTATCAAAAGCACCTTCTATGTCTACAAAAACACTCAAGGCGGACTCCTTATTGTTCAGGGATCTTTCTATCCGGCCAGTAACTAGATGAAGGGCTGAATCAGTAGATCTGCCAGGGGTTCATGCATGTTGGTTTGGGTGTAGTGGTGTTGTTGTAATCACCGCATCCCTTATGTACCTTTCACATAGCCTTTCCAATGTCTTCATGGAAAACGATGTCAGACTAATTGGTCGGTATGTTTTTGGGACAGTGTAATTCATCCTTCCAGGTTTGGATATAAATACCACTTTTACCTCTCTCCATTTTTTGGGGATATATCTCAGAGCCAATGGGGATCTGAATATACCCACCAGGTGCGGTGTTAGGTCTTCCAGTCATATCGTTAATTTCATCAGATCCACTGGACTGAATCACCGATAATCATATATCATATTGCCGTATACTCTAGCTTAGTTGCGCTTCAGCGCTTTTTTGAACTTCGAGCAGTAATCGAAATTTTTTTGAATGAAAAACATCAATCACAAATACCTAAAAAATGTTTCACACATTTTAATCCATGTAAAATATTCAGCCACACTACTAAGACTGATTTTCCCGTCGATTTTCCAATCGAAGCTTTTAGTGATTTGAAGATAAATTTTGATACTCGTTTCTTAGACTTTGAAGTCATTGCGAATGGAATTAAGATTTTTCAAACTCTTTTTGATACTGATATTGAAACCCTAGCTCCAGAATGTTATCGTTAGGGTCTTCACCGACAATGAAACAGTTTAAGAGCGTGCGAAATCCAAACTCTTCAAATGCACTCCTCTGGAGATCAAAAATGTATTCTACCCAAAGACATTACAACTAAGAGACCAAATTGTTTACATTTTTATGTGGCAAATCATTATTCCCACCAGATTCTCGTTTATTGCGTCTTTGCCAATTTTA